CGTGGTCTGCGTCTTGTGTATCTCGTCAAAGGTTGCATTGAAGCTCTTGAATCTCTCCTTGAGGTTGGGCTTGACTATCTTGCCGTTGTGCATGAGCCCCTCGTGCCCTAAGAAGCCCAGCAGCTTTCCCCAAGTCTCCCTCTGGTAATTTTTGTGATAGTTCCTTAGCTCTGACGACCTCCTCCTGCACCATGTGTCACCCATCACCTCGTGTATCTCCGCTGATCCTTTGATCTTCTGCACTATGTATCTCCCGTTGTTCATCATGAAGATGCAGCTCAGTGGTATGTCTTTGTACTGTTTTGACTTTGTGTCCAGGTTCCCGTCTAGTAGCTCCATTATCCTCATCAGCTGACTTGCAAAGGCCGAGTTCCCACTCTCCACAGGTTCCTCCTCCTCTCGCTCCATCTTCGAGTGACTCTTGAACACTTGTTCCAACGTGTCTTTGTATTCACATGAGTACTTTAGGTAGTTCATGGTGTACCTCGTCAGTGGATGCACTGCACCTCCTGGCACTGGGGTCTTGCTTGAATCCGATTTGATGGAGTGCTCCAGATCCGAAAATATATGAATCGCAGTCTCTCCAAGTCGGGAACGAGCACTGGTCACCTCGTTCCTCAGCTCGCCCCGCAGCTCCTCCGGAAAAAGCTCCTCCATGGCTGGAAAACTGTCCCGCAGAGTCTCGTAGATGTCAAGGATCTTAAAGAGCTTTTCAGTGGAGCGCCTTGTCATGGCCACGGCCTCTGCGAAACCCAAGAACTGGATGGCCAGACCGTGTGTGACGATACAAAATAAGATCCCTTCGTCCCCTGGGAAGATCTTCTCTGCGAGTTTGAGCTCTCCAGGGAAGAAAAGAGAAGAGCAGTCCTTAAAAGTCTTGTTCCAAATAGGGATCTCTCTCTCAAGCGTGTCCCAGCTCATCTTCTGCACTTCGTCGATGCTAACTTTCTCAAACTCACAATCTTGTTTCAAAGTGCGCATCAAGATGTTTCTCCTACCAACCAAATAAACCTCTCTGCATTCCCATCCATACCCTCCTCCTTTCATCTTCTCTGCTATTTTCCTAAGCACCACAACCACATCATCCGGGTAACCGGGGTATTCGATCTCCTGATCACCGCATTCCGGAACCAGCAATTGGTCATGATCTTGTGAGACCACCGCATCGTTCTGGTGGTCTTGCTGATCCGCGGTGCTCTTCCGCTGGCCGTTGCTGTCATCAGAAACAACAGGGGGCTCTTTGATTAGGGATTCTTCTAAAATGATGCGGAATTCGTCTTCCAAGAAAGCCATTGCACGCTGCTGAATGGATCCCGCATGGTTGATCAAGGGCTCATGATGGTCCAGACAGGACTTGGTGTTGAGCAAGATCCCCATTAGCTTCGAGACACGATCCACTGCCTCCAAAAGCGAAGAAACCTCTTCGGGATCTTGGTACCACACAGTCTTAGGATCACCAGAGTCATATTTGGAGAGCTTTTCCTCAAAAAGATCCAAGAACTTGCCAACAAACTGTGGGATCTGAAAATAACCATCCTCTCCTTTCTCCTCGGTGCTGTCTTTGTGCTCCTCCTTGTGAAGGGAAAGAGTCGGGAGAAACTGATCGAGTTCTTCAGACAAAGACTCCAAAGTTTGAAGAACCTCTGGTGCTTCTTCTTCTTCTTGAGAAACCTTGTCGACATTGTCCCCTTGATCGTGATGGTCTGTCTCGGCATTACCAACATCTACATTCTCTTTATTGCTGGTGCCATCGTGCTGCGTGTCATCAGAGGGATGAGCATCAGAAACATTGTCGCCTTTCTCGTCCCCTTTAGATTTGTCATCATGATCAGGGTCTTTCTCGTTCTTATCCATATCGCGTCTTATTATTTACGTATAAAAAAGCTTCAGAAATGGTGAAGTGGAAATGAGGTGCAGAGGAAGGAGAGATTCATGTGTTCTGTGTTTTTTCTGTTTAGACTTTAGGATCTGTGGTTTGTGTGGTTAGAGAGAGGCGATTGAGAGAGAGAGAGAGAGAGAGAGAGAGAGAGAGAGAGAGAGAGAGATGGTTCGCAATGGCCTGAATCGAAGAAGTAGGGGAGCCTTGTTTTTTTAGTGGTTGACCGTTGACTTTTTCTTTCATCCCAACACCACCAATACCGTGTGTAGCAATCTATTTTTAACCAACAAAATAATTTTTCTAAAGAAAACCTCGTAATTGTTAAACTCTTTTATTATTTTGTTAGAAACATACTCATACACTACAAAAAAAGAATCATTTTGTATCACTTAAATTATATCACAAAAGTAAGTGATAGTATTTTAAATTATTTATTTGTAAATGAAGCAACTTAGCATCAATTATATTAGTTGATGTTATAATTAGCTAATTTTACATCAATTAAATAAAACTGATTTAATTGTTATTAGTTTATATCACTTTAAGAAAATTGATATAAAATATAAATTTACATCATTTAGATAATTGATATATTTGTTATTTTTTTATAAGATCATTTTGTAAAATGATACAAAATTTGTATCAATAAAAATTGATATTAAAAAAAAAGTAACTAATATAAAAAAGAAAATAAGAAAGGTAACTTAAATATTTTTTTATCGAGAAGCATACAATCTAACTATATCTTTTTCCCTAACCTCCTAATCCTTTATCGGATCTATATATCTTTCTTCCCCAGATTTTTTGAGAAGCATATCACCATCTCTTTATATTTCTTCTTTCGTTGTGGCATGCCTTTACTTAGTTCTCTGTATTTTTTTCTCAATAGATGGCGAAGGAGCTTGGTGATAAGGCTAAAGAAATTTTTCTTAGATGACTAGTTATTGACGGGGAAGATGCCAACAAAGCAATTGAGTTGAATCATTCATTGTCCAAATCTTACCTAAGAAAAGGGTATGGTATTGAAGCTATTTCCTCCTCTGTAATATTGTCATTCACGTGTATAAGTTATAATAAGGGTTACCTTTCATATAATTTCTTAATCCTAATTAAGTTTGTTTTGTTAACAGCTTATATGGTTTAGAACAAGTGTCAAGACATTGGCGTCAAAGTATCTTCAAAAAGAAGTGGTGTTTAATGGCTTGATGCAATTGTTGTTGTGAATGTTCATCCAAGAAGATTCCATTGCAATGAACAAGGTTTCGTTGGAACGTGGTATTGGAGTTGTTTATCTTTCAGGAAATGCAAACAAGTTATCTAAATTATATTTTCATGTTTTTCAGTAATTCTCTTTAATTTAATGTACGTGGCCTTGATTTTCTGCTGGAAGTTCCATATCGTGGGATAATTATGTAATATGTTTTCAATTTTTTAATTATTAATTTAGATCGTTTTAGTATTAATTAATTATTTTGTTTTGGATTTTTGTAAAAATAGTAAAATCTGCTAAAACACGTTAGTATTTAGCTTCGCTAACAATAACATACTTTTTGTCCACAATTTTTTTAATCGATTTTATAATTAAGGTATAATATAACAAAAAAAAATGCAAAATCAATTACGTAAAAAACAAATTGACTCTAGTTTTAGTATCACTTATTTATAAATGATGAGAATATTGACATCGGTTACTATAACTGTTACAAATAGTAATATCACTTATACAAAATGATTTAAAAAATAACATCAATTTTATAATCGACACAAAATTAACATTATTTAGTACAACTGATACAAATATTATTTATAGCTGTATCAGTTGTTAATAAAATGATGTGAATTATTTGCATCGACACATATAGAATCATTTAGTTAAGTGATGTAAAATATGTTTACATCAGTTATAAGTAATACAAATAGTCAAAATAAATGATTCAAAATGATCATTTATTTGTAGTGATACTACATTACATTACACGAAATATGAGAGGGAAGTGATATGCATTTATGAAGAGAATGATTTGAAAATTGAATAACGTGGGAGTATGGTGCGCACGCATATTCTTCACATAACTCTCTCTCTCTCTCTCCCTTATACGTGCATGCATAAACCATCATACATATCTTCATGTTTAATCATATTTTTTTCTGATTCTCAATCAATGATATGTATCTTAGCTGTTTTTAATTTTAAAAATAGCCATTCCTAAGAATTCATCTAAAATACTAATATGGCTCGACCGCTCGAATAGAGAGAAATGTCGAGAGATGGTTTGGGGAGGAGAAAGAAGAAGGTCGATGATAAAAGCCCGAAGAACCGTTGGGCCCAATAAATAAGCTGCAATTATAAACTTTCCATAATCAGGTCTGCCTTTCAATACGTTTCCATAATCAGGTTTCTGCCTTTATTTACTTGCTAGTGACTACTACTACTAGTTGTGTAGTTCAGTAGGACTTTAGGAGGAAGGAACAAGTAGGCAGTGTTGTGTCTCCTCTCATCACATGCACAAAATAAATGCAGTAGCAGAGCCGTTTACAGAAAGTAATAAATTAAAAGATTAGAAAGATAAATACTACTATACTAGTATACTAGTATATTACTATTCTTAGTTAGGCGGACGTGGGCTGGCTCTCGCGCATTTGTCAAAGGATGTGTTCCAACCTTTTTACTCTGTTTACCAATTAGATTAAGATCAATAATACTAATTACAATCTAATCGAACCTTGAGAATATGATGAAATGAAAACTGTAATAATAAGTAAAAAAAAAAGGATCCAAAAAGAGGGACCTTTTCTTGCAAATGGAGATACCCCAAACTTGCACGTTTCTCTCTTCCCCTCTCATCTCTTCTTCTTATGGAAGAATATATGTATATGACATTTTCTTCTCTAATTGTTTCTTTTTTTAATAAAAAAAAGTCAAATGAACATCCCTCAAAAGCACCTTCCTTAATGTTTTTCCTTTTCTTTCTCATTATGAACTAAAATAAATTTTCAGAACAAAGTAACCATTTCTACCATTTTATATTTTTCTATTACACAAAAAAAATATATGTGTATATGTTTGTGTGTGTGTACTCGTGGGGATAATGATATATAACATATAAGAGAACCTCTACTACTGTCATGTAGCCTGCAAAACTCACATAACAAAAGGCTACACAAGTCTTCCTTCTCTCTCTCTCTCTTTCTTTCTCTCTGTTCTTCCTCTCTTTAGATGGAATGATGGAGCAGTGCTTATAAAGACGATATTTGAAATTTTGATCCATTTTCGAAGACCCAATTTCAAAAAGAAAGAAAAAAAGAGAAGAAGAAGAAGAAGAAGAAGAGAGGATATGGAGATGGAGAAGAGGATAGTAGTGAATGGAGGCATGAGATTGCCAATAGGATACAGATTCCACCCAACAGAGCAAGAGCTTATACTTCATTACTTGCTTCCAAAGGCCTTTGCTTCTCCTTTGCCTTCCTCCATCATCCCTGTCTTTGACCTCTTTTTCTCTCATCCTCTCACTTTCCCAGGTCTCTTCTCTCTCTTTTCCTTCTGTCGAAACCTCTGTTATATATTTTCATGTCATCTTGTTTTGCCTAACTGTTTAACGTTTTGTTCAAACGGGTCTATCAATGGTTGAAACTTTAGAAACTGTTTCTTGCTGATGTTTGGGACTAGATCCATGGGTGCTTTGTGCTAAAACTGAAGGGTTTTTGCTTTCAGGGGATTCAAAGGAGAAGCATAGGTACTTCTTTTGCAAGAAGAAAGAAGTGTCAAGTAATGAGCAAAGAATCAAGACTGTATCTGGTGATGGCTATTGGAAACATATAGGGAAAGAGAGACCGATCATTGCCTGTGGTAAAGCAGTTGGGATTAGAAGGACACTTGCTTTCTATGAAACAAACAAGTCCTCTTCTAATTGCAACAGAACCAGATGGAGCATGACCGAGTATTCCCTTGCCGGATTTGCATCGGCCAAGGTACACACGATTAACTACTCTAGACTACTGTAAGAAAGACTTTGGAATGTGTGATAATAATGGGTTTGGTTTGGCATAAAACGCAGGTGTTTGGAGAATGGGCAGTGTATAATGTATATGAGAGGAAAGGATCGAAAGCAAGAAAACAGAGGAAATCAAGAGATATGGATGATGAAGATTTGAGTTGCAGTATCCACTTTATCGTTGGGTCGTCCGATCATGAAACTGGTCCGCCGCCACCTTCTCCTCCTACCTCAGCTGATGAGTGATTAATATGTCAGCAGAACACGTTGAGATGTGACAAAGCTCCTAAACCCTAACCTACTACTAGTTCCCTTACGTTTCTGTCAAGCTATTTAAACAAATTTCCACGTTTTGATTCATTTGCTAGAGAAATAAGTAACATGGGGCTAGGGAGCTTATTTTGATCTGAAAAACTGTTGTATTGTATGAGTTGAAAACTGTTTGCATATGTCAAACTTGTTGATTATTTTTACTTGAAGAAATTTAATTTTCTATTTAAATTATCATGCAAGTAAAGTTATTTTGTTGTGCAAGACGAAGTAAAGTTGAATTAAAAGGAGGTATCTTTCTATTCTTCCTCTAGGATGAGAATTCGATTCCCTTTCTTTTCAAACCAAATTAGAATTCATAAGTAACATATTACAAATACTTTTTTTTATTATATATATATATACATCAATGAGTATGGAAAAATTGTTTACTATGAGATGGAATTAAAGATGCAACTTTGTATTAAATTTAAGGTATAGCAAGTTGATAAAGTTTATATACAGTAAAACCTCTATAAATTAATAATGTTGGCACCATGGAAATCTATTAATTTATAGAGGTATTAATTTATCGATAAATTAATAATTATTAATTTATAGAAAGATATTCCTAATTTGGAAAATATTTTCAAAACAATATTTAAAAATAAGATTTAATCATGATAATTAGTATTTTATATATTCAATTACAAATAAAATAATAATAATTATGTATTAAAAGAGAATGCTAACTATTTTTCATATAATAAAATATTAGAAATAAAATCTATCAAAAACTAATGTGTCTATATATACATGTATTTTAAAATTTTTACCTAATTATTAATTTATAATATTGATGGGACCATATATTTACAAAGGATTTTCAAAAAATTATTATCTTATTATTTTATCGAAATATGTCTAAAATTACACTGGTTCCAATTTGGGATCGGAGAAATTTATTAATTTATAGAGATTATTAATTTATCGAGTATTAATTTATAGAAGTTTTACTATATAAGTAATGGATGGATGAGTGATATAACATTATAAATTGGTGTGTTACAATGAACAAAGAGACAATGCAATACAAAGAGTTGAAACCGAAATTAAAATATATGGGAAAATGAAGAAGCCATCGCATGGGGTGTCGAGAAGCTAAAGTTCTTCGTGTCCAAACCATTTTATTTAATCAAAACATATATGTTCCTTTTTGTCATTGACACGTATTTTAAATGTTAAATTTATCAGAATCCAATATCTTCAATATGATTGTTGTAACATTGTGAGTTGTAGAAGTATATAATATGGAAGCTATATATATGTTTGATTGAAATTCATGAATTTATAAAGAGAACGTATCCAAAACTTATATATCGACCGAACTATGTAGTGTAGTGGTTTATGCTAACATGGGTATTGTGTCAACATATCGCAAATCGAGTTCGATATCCATTCATATCATTGGAAAAAAAAAACCAAAAAAAAGTCATGTATCATGTGTGCCAACAGAAAGGCTCAAATGTAAGAAAGACAAAATATTGAAACATAGTTTATGTAACAAGGACATGGTAGGGACATAACATGGGTATGTATATATGTGAACAGTATAATGATTGGAAATACAAATCATATGTTATTGTAACATACATCTTGTAGAGAATAAAGTAATAGAGAAAATGGTGGCGAAGGTCAAAGACAAGTCACATGTGCATTGTGCACCATCTTCCAATGTATAATCCGCAAAAAGACAACATCGATTAAGGCAATCTAAGTTTCTCCTCTTTCCCACACAAATACACATATTACCATAAACATGTCCTTCTTTGCTTTTAATCGAAGCATCATCCTTGATTTTCAAATGTAATCAAATTAAGAAGAAATAAAAAAAAAGGTTATACCTGCATAAAAATAAAAACAAATGCTACTTAAGTAATGAAATGATGAAGAGTCATTAAGTGAAAAGTGAATGTGAACAAGTCCTGTGTTAATTGTGGGTGCCAAGAGGTTTACTTGCTCTCTGCCAATGGGCTTTTGGAATATGCTTAACAGAGAAAGCAAATTTACTTTTTCAGCACACAACCAAAAGGTAAGATTAAATGTGGTGTTGCTTCAATTTCAAGCAAACGTCGTTTCTTACTTTGACTAACACCACTTATACTATATAATATCCATCCTAATTAAGTATAATTAACTATGAAACTTTACTTTATTAATTTGGTATTTGCAACAAAAAAACATAAACAAATACGACGACGTGGTATTTGGTTATATTGCAAACAAAACAAACAGTTTAACATATTATAACTGAAAAAAAAAACAATATATATTACTTATATATTAATACTAGGCATCATCTTATCTTCTTTTTTGATTTTGATGTAAAGAGATCTGTTCTAATGTCGTTGTTGTAATACAACACAAATCCAAATCTAATACTAGTTTACATGTGTGAAATGTAGACACTTATTTGTAAAACGCCGCTCTCCCGGCAGACGCATAAATAATTTCACTTTTTATTTCAAAAAAAAAACTTTTTAAAATCAGTTGACATTGTTTTCTAAAGAAAGTAATGGTTCCAATATAGTAAGTAAATTGATTTGAAAGTGCAACAGCAATATGAGAGAAGTGGGCTTCTAGCATATTTGGTTTGGATGAAACTATGGACTACAAACATAAAAATCTTAATGCTATGGTGAGCTACTTGAAATCAATAGGCCTTGTAAGTATTTATTCCTTGTAGTAAATGGGCCTTAAGAAAAGACAACAAGTATGATAATGTTGAGCTTAGTTTAAGGGTGAAGTGAACCAACATGTGTGATTAGGACTAAAAAAAAAGAAAAGAAATAGAAAAGGGAAAGGCAATGATGAGAAAAGAGAAGAAAGGTGGTGACAAGTAAGTAGAGAGAAAAATGGAAAGAATAAAGAAGGTAAGAGAAACATAGAAGGCTTCCATGTTTGGCAATTCCATCTTGGAACTTGACCCACATTATCGTCTCTTGTCATTCTTTGGCATCACAAATCACAACAACAACAAGGTGCCGTCAGTCAAAAAACGCTTAAACTTGAATACAAAAGTGTTGGGTAGTAGCTAGGATCTTCAATAAAATATTAACGAGTTGAAGTGTGAGAGATAGTGTTCACTCACTCGTCTGTGTAAGTTGTACTGCACACAACTGTCTAGTCACCACGTGTCGTTACCAGATTTTCTCTTCCCGTTTGCTGCAGTCAATGATGTAACACTCCCAACACCCCCCCCCCCAAAAAACAAAAACCTAAAAAAGCAACCAATCTCTCAGTTTTTTAAAAAGTTAATAAATGTGTGAGAGGGCGATAGAGAAGTCCTCATCCCATCAACAATAACTCAGTTTCACTTTCTACTCCATTCTCTGTTTTTTTTCTCAACGTCGCAGATTTTGATCTGGAACCCAACTTTTACTTTACTCTTTAATTACCTCAATGGCGATATTTAAATTAATCGATTTTAAAAAAATATAAAAACAAATTAACAACTTGCTTACTACTGTTAACTTATCCACTAATCCAAATGTTTTTCTTTTTTCTCATCAGGGAATATTGTGCTCCTTGTGTACCCTTAAACGGTACCAAATAAAAAAACCGGCTTCCAATTTCAATAAACATATGGGATAAAAAGGAGTAACAAGTTTAATGTGCATTATTAGAGATTGTGGTTATAGTTATAAAATATTATAATATAGTATACAAAAGGAGCTCGTGTTGGTGTAGAGAGATACGAACAACGGAACAAGGATGGAGCAAAAAGGATTAATTGGGATCTGTGAAAATTCGTTAAAGCAGAGCAGAGAGAGACGACGACGACGAAGCTGATGAGGGCAAAAGAGTAATTTTCACAAAAAAATCAGATATTCTCTCTGCAACAAACGACGCAAACAAACAAAAAGCAACACACAGCTTAAACCCTTCCCATATTTATAAACCCACACACACACATCCTTCACTCTCTCTCTCTCTCTCTTTTTGCTTTTTTAATCTCATCCTCATCTCTCTCTCTCTTCTCTGTAGCTTAGTAGCCCTCAAAAATGGCGGAGCCACCACCGTCTTTCCATCAGTTCGTGGGTCCTTCGAAACCTCGATCATCGAGCAAACGACACTCTTTTTCCTCTTCAACTCATCCGACTTGCCACCGTCTCTTCCCTTGCCAGTACTGTCCCCGCAAGTTCTACACCTCTCAAGCCCTCGGCGGTCACCAGAACGCTCACAAACGCGAACGCGCCGCTGCTCGTCGCAACCTCGGCGTCCTTGCTCATTCCTCTCCACCCATCCTCGACGACAACGCGTTCCTTCGTCCTTACCCTTGTTTCTACCCTAACCCGATGCAAGGATCTTCTTCTGGAAACGAACCCGGTCAGGACCAGACGGCGATGATGATGGCTATGGGTGGTGGCTACGATCCCTTCCCGTTTCCGTATCCTTACGTCTACCCATTTGGATTGTCTGGTAACGACGGTAACGGCGTCATGGATGAAGACGAGCCTCTCGATCTCGACCTTTCTCTCCGTTTATGAGTTTTATATCATCTCTGCTTTTTTGGGGTTTGTTTTGTTGTGTTGTTCAGCTATATGACTCTTTTAAGTACAACTTTGGAGCTATCTGTGTTCATGTCCTACTTTTCAAATGATTAACTAATCTGCTTAGCTTTTTGGAAGATGTTTGATGATCGTAATTTTATGACTCTTTTAGTCTCTGTTGTGGAACTCGATCGGATAATTTAATCGCTGATGGATGATGCATTTGAAGTTACAAACTATAGTCTATAGCTTAACTAATTTGTACCCACACAAAAAAAAAAAAGGAAAATAATAGTCACGACTGATTTCGCTTGTTTAGTCTAAATCGGAAGCATTCATGAGTTTCTCCTGCGTTCGTTCTCTTTGATTTTCCGAAATTGGGAGACTACAAAATCCGGTCATGACTTGATCGGAAAGCACCCACCAACGCCGCCGTCGAAATCACAAACCACCTCCACAATGTTGGTACGTGCGGAATCCAACATTTCATCATCACACACACGTGACGTCGTTCGTTATTTGCTTTTTCCAAATAAAGACGATTAAAACTGCGTGCCGTTTGTAAGCGCCTCACACAACAAACACTCCATGTTGGTACGTGCGGAATCCGACATCTCATCATCACCCACGCACACGTGACTCGCTCACGTGACGTATCCTGCTATTTCCAAATTAGACTGCTTGGTGCCTCACACTGCTGCACAACATCCATTTTCTCTCCAAACATATGCTAAAAAAATACGTCTTCTTTACCAGCATGTAGCATCCTTTTCTTATTCCTTCCAAATAAATTAGTTGCTTAGATATTACATTACTATACTCAAGTAAAAACAAGTTTCAGATTTTTTTCCCTGACAAGATAACTAGTGTAGAAGATGTAACGCTAAAATACAAATATAAGTGGTAAAATACCCAAAAAGAATATACGTAGAGAGTGCTTCTTACTCAACGATCAAGGTCAGCATCATCATCATCATCAATCTCAGAGGAGTTGTCAAGATGTTCTCTAAGCAAATGGGTCTGGTTTCCTGCGGAAGATACATCCTCCATTTCAGGCAGTTCAAACTCGTCTGGTCTCAATGACAGTTGAAAGTCCGGAAGCTCTGGCAAACACTGCATTGCTCTGTATGGTTTACCATATTCGATCATCAGATATTTTGTTTGGTTCTAAGTAGTTAAGTTTTAAATTCTACAAGATAACACTATATCGCTTACTTCTCTTCTTCTTCAAGCAAGTATCCATAAGTCTGAGACTTCCTAAAAGCAACTTCTGGAATCTTTTGGCTCAAATGCTTCATAACTCCCCACATAGGAGGAGCCCTGATTAAAAAATCAAAAGCTGAATTAATCACAATTCAAAATGTTCAGTGAATGACTATATCATATATACAATAAGACAAACCTGGTGACAGGAGGAGCCAAGCAGAAGCTAAAGCAGGCCTTCTTGCTTTCTCCTAGAATCTCTGCAGCTGCAAGAAAACAACACACCGCAATCACGTGGCAAGATGGCTCAGTTCCTTTGTCCGTTACCAGTCCATGGTAGTAGTATGCGGCAGCCTGTTAAAAGAGAAACAGAACATAACAGACAAATTCATTTATGAGATAACAGAGCAGTTCCATCCCTTTCAACGGTAGCTTTCATATGTATACATTATAAACATACCTTTGCTTCCAGAAACTTCCAGTAGATAAACCGGAGTAGCTTCTTGGCGCATCCATGGCTAACTGCTTCACAATCAGACAAGCAGTGATATGCCTGCAATGATAATTAGATCATTTACAGGAAAACAATTAGAGATTAAAGCAAATAAACTATGATTTTCCGTAAATGCATGGCCCAATGAAAAGATGAAGGTTACAAAACTATGAGGAGGACCTGAGTGAAATAGATGACTTGCTCACATGCAAGTCTCCTCTTCACAGACAGTGTTGCTTTCTGGCTATCAACTGCTAACCCAAGTTGAATCTCAGTTCCCTGCAGTGAGATTCGATCATACTTACGAATTAAAATCCATACAACATTTACTTTTAGGAGGCACGGTTTTAAAGTTTGTATATAGTACCTGGCCAAGTGCTTGGATAGAGAGAGTTTGCATTACACTCTCCTGCATATCATCTGGCAATTTAGTCCTGTAAATTTGAAGTTATGTAAGTATCTATATCAAACTTGTTTGAAGATCTTCTGTTTTTGTTGTTTCATACTTTATTTCAGGTGGAAAGCGAGTCAGAATCTCTCGGACGCAAAACTCCAAGTATCCAGACGCCTTGAGCAGCAAGTCAACTGCATCTCTCCTGCAATCTGTGTGAAAGCGACTGAGTAATTAGCTATGTTTGTAAATAGAGCAGATTGTAAGTGAATAAAAGTGTGAAGAACGAAGAGGCCAAACCAGAGGAGACCACACGGACGCCATTGCCAGAATCAGAACAATCCTTTGGAATCATGAGAGAGTTAGCTTCAGTCAAAGCCAAAGCAGTCATCATGTGAATCACTGTCAATATCTCCATCCAAAGGTTTGTGAAACATATCTCTGCCTGTATATACCGTCACGTGTTAAAGAGTGCAGAAGAAACAAATCCAAATCATTAGTATCGGCTTTATTTGAGCAAAGAAATGGACTTACTCGTCGACCATCTCCAAGAGTTGTCCATTTGAACTCCACGCATCCCTCCATTCCATCATTCTCTGTATTGTTATATATATATATATATATATATATATATATATATATATATTCTGATGTTACCATTTGATTTACAACATACGACTCTGTTTACTTAAATCAAAATTTGCAAACCCGAACTAACTTTTCTTGACGAGACTGGTTAGAAGAGACAGGTACTCCTCCAAAGCTGTACGCAGCTCAGAGACGGCAGAACCCCCTGCAACTTCCAACCAAAATTTTGAATATGTTTTCAGAATACGAAACCTTTTTCTTAACACGCAAGAAGAGGGGAGAAGATAGTTTCACATCTTTAGACCTGTGTCCTCCGCTACCAACTGAATCTGATTCCTTAGACATGTCAATCGATCGACGGTGGCCTTAGGAGCAACGCCCTTGAGATGACGCTGAAGATCAGACTGAACAGGAACACGGAACTGAAGAACAAACACAACGGATTCTTGGATGATCCTTTTCTTGTTCTTCCTTCCGACAACAGCATAAGCAGATGTAGCACACCCCATGCTCTCTCTCTCTGCTATGCTTTTTGTTTTTATTTCCTCACAAAATCATCCTACAACATATGCGGATACATACATACATACAAAACATTGACAGATAAATCCTAAAACATAGAGTCTCTGGAACAACCTGAAGCGTATATATAGATCCGAGTTTTGGAAGCTTAAGAGTAATATAAAAAAAAAAGGAAGACAATCTCAGAGAGAGGCAACAAGAAGAGAGCATGTGAGGGAAGGTAAGTTTGAAGGTTCCAAAGAATGATGGGGAGAGAAGATTCACTTAGGTTTCAGAGTTCGATGCAATCCACCCACATGCTCTCTGTTCAATGAGCAAATGGGTAGAGATATATAGATACGTGAATTAAATCAACCACGAAAAAATGAAAAGAAATGGCACATGCCTTCCGGTTTAATCCAAGTTTTAATTATGGAAAGCTGTGTAATTCATATTCCCACTTGCCTTATTTCTATTGGCTCTTGTGTTTTTGTTTTAGTACTTTCTCGTTGACTTCTTTCCTTAACCTTCCCGCCGCCCCCTTGATTAACTGAATCACTTCTCTCCTTTTTTACCCTGTTTTCTTACTCCAACATATATAAATTAATTAGGGAATGAAAATATTTGATTATGGTAACAAAAACCTCTATTGTTGTTGGTATGGGTCAATATGTTCTTGAATGAATGAATCGTTGGCTTGTATAAACCATTATTACGTTTAAAGATCTGCAAGCTGCGTACACTTTATAATAATACGATATATGACAAAAAGATGATTTTCTAGATTGATATTAGTCTATCAAAATGTGGTGTGAGAGTAGAAACATGTTAAAATGTGGCAGGATACAGGCTGTGTGTTACAAGTTGAATATCTTCATTCTTGTACTCCTAAGTGCTAACACATTTCTACAGTCTACTACACACTATCTTAGTTAATAGCAGAGCAGCTCAGCAGATTTAGATCCCAAAATTAGATATTTAATTACGCACTTCTTTTAATTTGGACAATAGATTAATCATACCCAAAAAAAAAAAACATAATGGGCCTGTTTAAGTGGGCCTATTATCAGGTGAAAAACAATTGGGCTTATCATTGACTTTTTTTTGTTTATTTCTGTGGGTGGTGGTGTCGTAGTGGGTGTTATATCAGTCATCGGAGGTTTTATGAGCTGAGGAAAACATTCGTAGATCTGTTTTCAGTTTTCGCATCTGCTTAGCAACTACATCGTCGAAGATCAAACACCATGGCCATCGCCTTAGCTAAGCTTCTGATCTCCGCCATGGCGGTTTTCATGCTCGTCTCTGCCACGTTTGCGACCTCGGAAGAAGTGCCGTTCATGGTGGTCCACAAGAAAGCCACTCTTAACAGGCTCAAATCTGGCGCCGAACGCGTCTCCGTTTCTTTCGATATCTACAACCAAGGATCCTCGTGAGTTTCTCTATCTCTCATCTAGTTTCGTTTATCCAATCGGTTTTATCAATCCGATTCCATTTCCGATCCGTGTTAATCTCTGATTCTCTATAATTGCATGTAGAGATTGGTTACTGTAGAATTAGGTGATTATGCTCGAGCTATTCTTAGATCTATCGTATGATGTGGTATTTAGGAAACGAAATGCCATTTGATCTGATCCCATTTCTCCTCAGAATTGTGGATTTGGTTTTTGAATTTTGTGCCTGCCTGTTACGAGGTCTGAGATTTAAATCGTGAATGTCAGCTAAACGTGCTAGATATTTTTGGTATTTGTTCTCAGGACGGCGTATGACGTGACTCTGATTGATAGTAGCTGGGATAAAGCCAAATTTGAAGTTGTTAATGGAAACACTTCTAAATCATGGGAAAGACTTGATGCGTGAGTTTCTTCTTCGATCATAAATGTTTTTGTGGCTGCTTTAGCTTTTCTTTTCCCCTCTAATCTGATATTTGGTGTGCAGAGGAGGTATCCTGTCTCACTCTTTCGAATTGGAGGCTAAGGTTAAAGGAGTTTTCTACGGTGCTCCTGCTGTCGTTACTTTCCGCATTCCCACAAAGCCAGCTCTACAGGTTTGGTCCATTTTTAATCTCCCCTTCATTCTAGTTCCTGGAACTGGTGGATGCAACTAAGCTTTATAAGTTTATAATCCTCCCCAATTTACCTTCTCTTGTAGCGACTATTGTTTTACAAAAAAATCTGCTTATGTGATACAATTATGTATTATGGTTTTGTTTGTTTGTAGGAAGCCTACTCAACTCCACTACTACCCCTAGACATCCTTGCTGACAAACCTCCAACGAAGATGCTTGACGTGGTAAATTTGATTTTTTAAAAAATGTTCTTTCAATCATCTCCTCATCTCTTTTTTTTGTCATCACATTATTGACTTCATTGTTATCTTGTGTTGTGTCATGGATTTTGCTCTTGATGCTGCTAAAATAATCTCAGGCCAAGGTAATTTGATTTGTCATTCTTACCTCCCTGTGAAATCATCAAATATTACAATTATCTGACCATGTTTCAATTGTTGCAGAGGTTACTGGTGAAATATGGATCACTCGTTTCCGTCATTTCCATGGTGGTTTGTTTCGTATACTTGGTGGCAACACCTAAGTCTAACGTATCAAAAGCAAGCAGCAAGAAGAAGCGTTAAGTTAGTGAACTGAAGGTGAGAAAACTTGCTACGGTGCTGTTTTGTGTTTAGCAGTTAAACACAGTTTCAAAGTTTGTAAGAATTAGAGAACACACTTTAATTTTGGTGTTGCAGAGGACACATTTTAAAGAGTTATTTTGGTTTTGCGTAATGTCTTGTGAGAGCATGCATAGTCATGGAGGTCTCTTTTATTTTGATTCTCCGTTCTGCTTATTATGGTTTTATCTGCATTCTCTTTTTACATACTTTTGGTATTCTTTGTTGTGTTTGCTTCTCTTTTTAGTTTGATTGCCTGTTTTTTTATTTGTTGTTGTCGTAGTGTGTGTCTAGTTAAGGTTATTGATCAAGAGTAATATGGATTTTGCTTATAAGTTTTCGTTCTGTTTTAATTGTCATGTCTTTTAGTTGATGTCATTGAGATTGCATAAATTGGTAGATGCTTTATCGTCCGTATTCACTTAAAAAGTAGATTCGTCTTTACCCCTTTATCGTGTGATTATAATTGGGTAAGCAAAAAACTAGGTGTTAGGGTGTGATTGGTAATGTGTTTAACTTGATTTTTAATAGTTTTTTCGTTTATCGTTAATTTTATATCCGCTTACAAAATCTGGAGGAGAGCATTAGGAAACTTGTAGATTCCTTTTGTTTTCAATTTTTGAGCATTTCTTTGGAACCTCTTAAATGGTTGAATATTTGGCTTCAGAAAATAGAAATCATCTAGACAATTTAATTCGTATTGTAGTATGATAATTCGTATTCGCATCATAGAGTCCAGTTTGTACGCTATTTTGTATACCAGTTGAATTTGTTATTTTTACAATTTACAAACAAATTATAATATGGTTCTCTTGGTTGAAACATATGCATCTCGGCCATATTATATCAACACAGTGCATAACGCCTCAAAATATCATTGCCAACGAATGTCTTATGAGAAATCAGGCAATACGTGATTCATCAATCAAACGTTTTATTTACTCGGATGAGTTAAAAGAAACATCCAAGCCCGTCTAGCTCAGTTGGTAGAGCGCAAGGCTCTTAACCTTGTGGTCGTGGGTTCGAGCCCCACGGTGGGCGACGATAAGTTTTATAATATTGTATTTATTTTTGATAATCATTTGGCGACTAAATGTAATAATTGTTTCTTGTATTCTTGTAAATTCAGTGTCCATGCTTGAATTTGTGATGCACTGATGCTTGTAAAATCGAGAACAACGCATATTAAGCCAAATGAAACACAAACCAGTAATCAAAATGAATTTTTTTAATGAAACCGAAAAAGGTAGTAAGTGGGTGTGCCCACTCTCTCTATCTTCGAGTGTGTACCTCTCATCTTTTAAGATTACATCACACAAACAAAAAAAGACAAGAAATAATGGGCAGCGAGTATGTGAAATGGAGATAGAGAGAGAGATAGAACACTATCCTGAATTCAAGAACACAAATTTCAAAAACAAAAATGATAAAGTTCGAATCAGGAAGAGATTGAGCTTACTCAATCTTCCTCATTATCGTATAGTTTCTCTTATTTTTCCAAACAAAAATCCTACCCAATCGAACTCCTAACCCTTTTTTCGTCATTGTTTAGGCTTTGACTTCAGCAGCTGCGATGGCAGGAGCTGGAGCAACACCACCAGTGGTTGGCCTGAACCAGAGTAAAAGAATTAAGAGTTTTGCGTTTTGAAATTATCAAGTTAAGGAAGTATGTTAAGAGAGAGAGGAACTTACAGGCCAACAAACACTTTGAAGGCGTCGTATAATCCCCACTGTGCTCCAGTCAATGTCCCGATCATCACAATTCTGAGAGGAAGCCCTCTTGTGAATAGTCCCACCATACCTATCTTCTTCACCGCCTGCAACAATTCATTAACAAAATTTAAATACTATTCCTACCGCAACAGAAATCAATGGTTTCTTTGTATTCTACTACTAAACAGCAGCCATTCTAGTTTTCCTCTATTGTATTTAGACATAGTGACTTACATCTCCAACGGTTGCTCCCTTAGCATTGTTGAGGAATGACACTAAATTGTCTGCTGGATGAGAAACAATTGCACAGAACACTCCAGCAACGTAACCTCCTGCAAAACTCACACCAAGTTGCAGACCTTTGCTGCACTCACTCTTCGGGTTGGGGATTGCGTACTTGTAGATCATTTCAACAATGGTCTCAAAGGAAGCAAACTTCATCATAGTGTCTGTAACATATGCAAATGTCATCACCACACTTTGGTTTTAAAGAATCACGTATGCTTTATGAACACATAAAAAAAATTGAAATTTGCAAAATAGAGGCTTACAAGGAATCTGACGTCCCCAGAGTGGACCAAGACCCTTGTACAAGCTGCAGAAAAAGAAGAAATCAGACACAAAAAGGCTAGATGTAGTAAGGGAGAGAATGCAAATGGCATTGAACCACTCACCCTCCAAATCCTTCGGACTTGACAAACTTGGGGAATCCATCAGACATTCCCCTGGCAAATCCAGGCTGGGTCTGAACACGGACCTTGACAGCTTCAAATGGACAAAGTGCAACATCCGCAATGACCTCAGCAGAAGCAGAACCAGCAAGGTAGATGAGGGTCTTGTATTTGGCAGTGTACTCAGGTCCAGCAAGGTCAGAGTAAGTCTTCTTAAAGTACTCGTAGAATCCGAACTTGCAGGCACCCTGAGCACTGTAACCCAAAAGAGTAGGGACCCATCCACGGAAAAAGCCCTTGACTCCTTGCTCTTTCAGCAGAATTCCGAAACCAGACGAGATGCTCTTGTACTTCGCTGGATCAATCTGGATCACAAGGTATATCATATCAGTGTTGCAAGACCAAACCATTCCACACATACCACGTCAATTAAGTAAATTTAGAAAGAAGAATCACATCTCAGAACAGATCGACGGATTTTGAAATAGAAATAAGTGATATGTCATATGGAAATGGATGGACGGAGATTCGATACGTATAACAGAGATCAAACAATTCCTCAAATAATGGAATCCAACACAAACCCAAAACTCTAAAGCACATCAAATTACGGATCTATCCAACGAAGAAAAGCAAGGCTAACAACGCAGATCTAATCACCTAAGCAACAGAGGAACACAGATCCGCAAACATGAGCTTAGAAAACATACGAAAGATAACGGATCTAACGATTACATACCTGCATATTGCACTTGACGAGATCGAGAGGAGTCACGGTCATGTGAGTCAGACCACAGCTGAGGATTCCACCAACGGTACAAGCGGCGTAGAAGGCAGGTGAGTACATCTCGATCCCTTTCCCTGGCTCGGTGGGAGACGCAATAAGGAAATTCTTCCGGGACAGCATCGTCGTCGGAGAGGCTCGCGCAGCCGGAGCCGGAGAAGGGGATTTCTGGAGATTGGAGGAGGCAAATGCAGCGTTGGAGTTGGAATTCAGGACCTGGTCGAGGAGGAAAGATCTCGGCGACGAGGATGATGAATAGAGGAAGCTAGGGATCAGAGAATTCTTCGACGATTCCATCGCGGCGGCGTTTGAAATGAGAGACAGTGGCGATGTCTGATAGCCGATCTCACGCTTGCCCCAAACCAAAAAAGCACCAATGACTATGAGGAGGAGATATTAACTCTCGAGCCTCGGCCTTTATTGGGCAAATGGAATCTAATGAAACAGGGCATATACTTTGCGATAATTACCAAAGTGACATTGTAATTGTTTTATTCTCGCCTGTCTCGTGGCCCATGGGCTTTTTCAAGGGACATAAAACCCGTTGACCCATTAAAGGCTGTATTAACGAAATTTTCCAACTTTTATTGTAATATTTTTTATGTTGGAAAATGAACTTGTAAAACCCTAAATCTTTCCGAAGCAGAAGAGACAACTCGCTCTCTCGCCGACAATTACCAGCTACAAGGATTCTGCTCGTCAACGTTGTAAGTTGTTTCCTGCTTCTTCGTTGTAATCAAAATTTTGGATGAACTAGGTCAAAGTAGTAGCTTCCGTAGTAACCCTTCCTTAAATCAGGTGTTAATTTGAGTTTGATAACGAGCTTGGGTGCGAATCTTATCGTTGTTGCCGTTTTATGCAGCTGTGGATATTGTGGTATTGAGAGATGAGCTTCTTATCTCAGAATGCTCCGGCAAGTAAAGGTAAAAAAAGAGAGGAGCTCAAGAAACAGGACAGAGATTTTGAAGATGGGGAAGAGATTGTGTCCGATGATGACACTAGAGGGAAGAGAAGAAAGACGGAGAAGGAGACAGAGAAGCTACAAGAATCGGAACTGGTTCAAATGAAAAAGCTTGAGAATTCGTTATTTGGGTCACTCTACTCCCCTGTTACGTTTGGTAAGGAAGAAGAAACAGAAGATGGTTCTGCTTTGTTTCATGTAGACCGTTCTGCTGTGAGGCAGATTCCGGATTACGAGGATGATGATGATGATGATGATGAAGACGAACAGCTTTCTGATGAAGATAATGGTCAAGTTGTGGGAATTAAAAAGGGACAAGCTGCTTGGGAGGATGAAGAAGAGAAACAGATCAATATTAATATAGCTAGTGTCAACCGTCTGAGGAAGCTAAGGAAGGAGGAAAATGAGGGCTTGATCTCTGGGTCTGAGTATATTGCAAGGCTGAGGGCTCATCATGCTAAACTAAACCCTGGCACTGATTGGGCTCGGCCAGATTCCCAAATCATTGATGGTGAGTCTTCAGATGATGATGATGATACCCTGGATGGAGGAGTTGATGATATCCTCCGAACAAATGAAGATCTTGTGCTGAAGACTGGTAACAAGCTTTGTGCTGGTCGTCTTGAATACTCAAAGCTCGTGGATGCTAATGCAGCAGATCCTTCAAACGGCCCAATAAACTCTGTCCACTTCCATCAAAACGCTCAGCTGCTGCTCACTGCTGGATTGGATCGAAGGTTAAGGTTTTTCCAGATAGATGGAAAGAGGAACACCAAGATCCAGAGCATTTTTCTTGAGGATTGTCCTATTCGTAAAGCAGCTTTCTTGCCTAATGGCTCTCAGGTCATTGTCTCCGGAAGAAGAAAGTTCTTTTACAGCTTTGATTTGGAGAAGGCAAAGTTTGACAAAATTGGCCCTTTGGTTGGTAGAGAGGAGAAAAGCTTGGAACAGTTTGAGGTGTCACAAGACTCTAACACCATAGCCTTTGTGGGTAACGAAGGTTACATCTTACTTGTGTCGACAAAAACAAAAGAGCTGACGGGAACCCTAAAGATGAATGGTTCAGTCAGGTCCTTGGCATTCAGTGATGATGGGAAGCAGTTACTGAGCTCAGGAGGCGATGGGCAAGTCTACGTCTGGGATTTGAGAACAATGAAATGCTTATACAAGGGCGTGGATGAAGGCAGCACATGTGGCACTTCTCTATGTAGTTCGCTAAACGGAGCATTGTTTGCCTCTGGAACCGACAGAGGGATAGTAAACATTTACAAGAAATCTGACTTCGTGGGAGGCAAGAGAAAGCCCATAAAGACAGTGGACAATCTCACTTCCAAAATAGATTTCATGAAGTTCAACCATGATGCTCAGATTCTAGCTATAGTCTCAACGATGAACAAAAACAGTATAAAGCTGGTCCATGTTCCGTCCCTAACAGTCTTCTCAAACTGGCCACCACCAAACAGCACAATGCATTACCCTCGCTGCCTAGACTTCAGCCCCGGAGGTGGTTTCATGGCTATGGGAAACGCTGCCGGAAAAGTTTTGCTGTACAAACTGCATCATTACCAGAATGCTTAGTGTTGGACTCAGCAAGGGCAGTTTTGGAATTGTTGTGTTTTTACTTTTGTCGCAGTGCACTCTTATGTTATCAATTTTGCTATCCACATTTTTCGATCAATGAAAAATTTTCTTTCTGATTCTTGGAATCGAGTGGGCCAAGTCTTTCTTTTCTCACGTTTTTGTCAACATCAACACTTTGTGTTTAGTGGTTAATACCATCTCAAATAAGTATGCAGGAGAAAACGAAAGATGACGACATTGTTTCACTTATTTAACAGACACCAATACCATTCTAGTGGCTTACCCAGAGCTGAAAGGGTATCTCGCTCGATTCGGAGATTGAATCTTGACCGTCCATTCTGAGAAGGGCAAACAAAGCAGTGTCTCACGTCCTCTAATTATGTCTTAAGCCGCACTTTCACTCCTTAAACCCCCCACCACCCAAACAAATTAAACATTATTTCCTTCGGAGCCTGGCCGGCGAATCCGACCGGTCGTTTCAGCTGTGTCTGAAGGAAAGCTCGTATTTATATACGCTGATTTATTTTAGGTAATTCGTCTACTTTTTTCGGCTGCTCTGGGTACTGTTCTTTTATTACGATCGTCTTTTTTGCTATTTTTTTTCAAATTTTCTTAAATGATTCATCATTTCTTGCATTTGAGTGATGAAAGTGTCACCAAATTACACATTTTCTGGTTTAGATACTCCACATTCTTCCTTTTTAACTGAAATTTATAACAGATCCATTTGTGTTTGCCTCCTTCAAAGAAATGTACAAGTGTTCCACTTTTAATGTTGTTGATTTGGTATGATTGTTTGATTTCATTGGAAAGTAGTCATTATTTGTCAACATGCATTGTATTTCATCATAATCGTTCCATAAACAGGGTTCTACCTCAATCCTAACCTTTATATATATAGATCGCTTGAGAAAGACCTGATCTTTTTTTTTTCTTATTCTTTCTGTGAATTTGAAAACTGCAGGTTCGCACAGTGAACAATCACAGCTGTACCATTTGTCGAGATCACAACACTCAAGTTCCTTAGAATTAGCAAGCTTCACTACTGAGCAATGACGGCTTCATTGCAGTTGTATGGAGTTAAAGCTCCAGGGTTTGCTTTAAGTTCTAAGAGGCTTGAGTTTGGCTCAAAGGGAATTAGTAATTCAGTTACCTTGGCTGCAAGTAGTGCAGTCTTTAGAACCGTAGAGCATTCTTGTAGAAATGTAGCTTTGAGAGTTAGTTGCGAAGCTGTAAGAGTCGATTTGCTTGAAAGACAAGATACCGAGATATGTAATTCAAGCGGAACTGGCAAAGACTTGACATGTGTAATGAAATTCGGTGGCTCATCAGTGGCATCAGCCGAGAGGATGAAAGAAGTTGCCAATCTTATACTCAGCTTTCCAGATGAAAGGCCCGTTATTGTGCTTTCAGCCATGGGAAAGACGACTAATAAGCTTTTGAAGGTAATACAACAATATTAATTTTTTCTACTTCTTTCATATGATGTTCTTTTATCGTTGAGTGTATTATTTTCTTAGGCTGGAGAGAAGGCTGTTACTTGCGGTGTCACTAACGTAGAAAGTATTGAAGAACTGAGCTTTATAAAAGAACTCCATTTAAGGTAAATATTAAATACTGTTTTCTCATGTGTATTTGATTTTTATCTAGTGTTCGCAGTCCAAATTTAGCCTTATTCTCACTGAAATAAAATTTCTCTGTCCAGAACTGCTCATGAGCTTGGAGTGGAAACAACGGTCGTTGAAAGTAAGTCCCTTGGTTCTCTCTCTAGATGCTTGAGTTATCGACCTTTTCTAATATTGTAATCTCAGAATTTTTCTGTGCGTTTCTGTATCCATTTTTCTGGTTAATCTTTGTAGAGCACCTAGAGGGACTACACCAGCTTCTCAAAGGCATATCAATGATGAAAGAGTTAACCCTACGTACAAGGGACTATTTGGTTTCATTTGGAGAGTGCATGTCCACAAGGCTTTTCTCTGCGTATCTCAATAAAATTGGCCACAAATCACGTCAAGTATGTTGCTTTATAACACCCTGGTCCTAGCATCACTTTGACACAATATAACTGATGCTCTCGTCATACAGATAAAAGAAACTTGAGAATATCAATGCAAACAATTCTGTACTCAACATAAGTTTGATTCATAACATGATGACTTGTTCGCTTGTTGTTGGCAGTACGATGCATTTGAGATCGGGTTTATTACAACAGATGACTTTACAAATGCTGATATACTTGAAGCAACATATCCTGCTGTGTCAAAAACACTAGTTGGCGACTGGAGCAAGGAAAATGCAGTCCCTGTTGTTACTGGCTTCCTTGGAAAGGTTTACATTTTCTGACTGTTTTTGTTATTCACGTGGATAAAAAAATATGTAGTACACAGCTCTGATTCTCATGTATTCTGTATATTGTTGTGGCTTTTGTACAAGCTTTTTTTTGCTTATTGTATCAAATTTGAAAACAAACCTCCCATCTCGCTTATGTATGTGTTTCTGCAGGGATGGAGATCTTGTGCAGTAACTACGTTGGGTAGGGGTGGTAGCGATTTGACGGCTACAACGATTGGGAAAGCGTTAGGACTGCGGGAAATTCAGGTAATTGATGGGTTTAACCGAAATTGTATCATGAAGATGGAAGTTTGTTAAGCAGAGATTACTTACTTCTTAAAATCTGGTGCAGGTTTGGAAAGATGTGGATGGAGTTTTGACTTGTGATCCTAACATATATTCTGGTGCTCAATCTGTTCCATATTTGACGTTTGATGAGGCAGCTGAGCTTGCTTACTTTGGCGCCCAGGTAATCTCGTAGATTATCTCGGTCATGAGTTCTTCTCCTATCTGATTGCTGAGCATATTCCTCTTTGCAGGTGTTGCATCCACTATCTATGAGGCCAGCAAGAGACGGTGACATTCCTGTGAGGGTTAAGAACTCATACAACCCCACTGCTCCAGGAACTGTCATCACCAGATCAAGAGACATGAGTAAGGTTCGTGAAACAAAAGTGTTTTTAAACTCCTTGTATCAAAACATCAGTTACCCCTTCTCCCTCCTTTAATTGCTTGTAGGCCGTGCTGACAAGCATTGTTCTGAAACGTAATGTGACCATGTTGGACATAGCAAGCACCCGTATGCTTGGCCAGTATGGTTTCCTTGCCAAGGTAATGTAATTGGGTAATGATATCTTTAATTTGATTTTGTTTAATATCTCGCCTGTGTCGTGTGCAGGTGTTTACCACATTTGAGGATTTAGGCATATCAGTGGATGTTGTAGCGACAAGTGAAGTTAGTATATCATTGACATTGGATCCAGCAAAGCTCTGGGGTAGAGAGTTAATCCAGAGGACAAATGTAAGACTCCTTTCACTATAGTACATTGTTTCTTTAGTGAGGGTCATATGTAGTATTGGTAAAACAAAACGATTGGGTGTGAACAGGAGCTGGATAATTTGTTAGAAGAGCTAGAGAAGATTGCTGTTGTGAAACTACTTCAGCGCAGATCAATCATCTCTCTGATAGGAAATGTGAAGAAATCCTCACAGATATTAGAGAAGGTGAGTGAGAGTAGTCTGTCGTGTGTTCTCATTTGAACTCGAAGTTTTAATTTTGAAGTTAATGGGAATGGAATGAACAACAAAACAGGTGTTCCAAGTACTAAGAAGCAATGGAGTGAATGTGCAAATGATCTCGCAGGGTGCATCTAAGGTTGAAATCTACTGCTACATACATATATATATATATATATATATATATATATATATATATAATGTATATCTATAGTGATGAAAAATATGGTATTGTTGAAAGTTGAATGATGATGAAGGGAGATTGGTTTGTGTGACAGGTAAACATCTCATTGATAGTGAATGATGAAGAGGCAGAGCAATGTGTGAGGGCTCTCCACTCGGCCTTCTTTGAGACGGCTTCTTAGTGCAACACAGAACTGCATCCCCTCCCATGTCACACTCCTTCACTCTACATCTTATGTGCGTAGTTTTTAATGCTAAGAATGTGACAAGACTTCGGAACAACCTTTTTCACATTCTTGTTGTTGTTGTTGTTGTTGTTGTTTGTAGTTGTTGCTGTAATACAATAACATAATTTCTTAATGAAATAAACCATTCAGTCTTGTAGGGCTTAAGATATAAAGGTTTAGGAATTAATTCTCAACACTTTTGAAATCTATAACTATATTTTCCAGCAGTGATAGTATTCAACATTCAGAAGTAAGTGTAGCAACTAGAAAATGAAATAAAGTGTAGCAGATAAAAAAGAGGCAAGAAAAAGTGGACATTCAAAGTGCAGGCATTCAAAGTGCAGGCTTTGAAAGTATGTAAAAAATATTATACCGAAAATACCCTTCATGAAAAGTGTATGACCAGAGTGAATAGACCAAGGTTATAACCGACCGATCCAGCCACGGTCAACGAGAAATACACAGCTGATGATATCTGTTACGTAAGGTAAGGAGGCTCTCTTCCTTCTTCTTCTTCTGTAACGGCCGGCCCTTCCCTTTTTTTTTTCCTTAAATAATATACTAAAGTGGTCCGACAAACACAATCCCTCAAAGATTGTTTTATTAGTTTTTCTGTGTTTAATTTTATTATCTTAAGGGCAAAATGATTTAAGATTTAGTCCAAACTACTAAATCAGCTTTTAGTTTATACACCAAATCTATAGAACCAATGAAGGGACATATTAACTCTTTAGACTCACTTCAATTATACCCGTATAATGTATCTTTAAGCCTCCTTTGCTTTATAATACATGAAAGCCATGAATGATTCTAAGCGATCTTTTCTTTTATTTTAAATTTTTTAAAAGAAATATACTAATCAAATTGATGAATAAGTTGATATATATATATATATATATATATATAAGAGATGAGGTGAGGTGACTCTGTATTGCAGATTGGTACCTATAAATTTCATAACAAGTTGTTTTGTGCTGACATCGATATGATATTTTGTATTTTTAGCTTTTTTGTTTTTTGTTTTGGGGGGAGGGGTTGGTCAAACATGAGAAACAAGAAGGCAAATTTGCAGATAAGAAGAAGAAAAAAAGCAGAAGCATGCATGAAAGCCTAAAAAGCATGTGACCACCTTTGTGAAATTTCAGCCTTTTTGCTAAACTTATCTACTACACAACAATCCACACACCATATATGAGAATTTTAACAGTTTTTATCTAACGGAACTTGTAACGTTTTTAATATACTATATATAAAGAAGAAAAAGATGCCTATATAGCAAAGAACACATGCCAACTTGTAAGTTTAATTTTTTCCTTACATCAAGAACATGACTGACATTCTGATGGTAGCTCAAGTAAACGCTGGTGACTAACTATGTATGTATATATCTATTTCTCTTATAAAAAAGTTCATTCCAAGAATATTTATGAGCACTTTACTTAGTTTTTTAAAACGTTAATTAGCCAATTTTCTATATCTCATTATGGGCTAAGAATAATATGGTTACGAAAATTCGATCTCGATTACCAAAAAATATTCCCATTTACGCATATATGTTTAGCTCTATATATATATGTGGGATGCTAATTGGATTACATATTCCACTCCTTTTACGATCACATTGATAATGATTTTATAGGAAGCGCTTGTTTATATAAATAGAGAGATTTGTAATTAGCAATAAAGTGAATATATGGAATATAATTATAGGAAACCACCGGCCATATCCAAACATTCGACCTCATCTCTCTGCGTTACGACTTGCTCACATAATGTTGGCAGCATCAAATTTATTATTCGGCGCTTTGCTTCTCCATAAAAATATACATATATATTGGACCATTTATATGTTTTTTTTTATGTATGCATATTGGACCATTTATATGTTTTTTTTTTATATATATGCATATTGGACCATTTTTATTTGCTTATATTGGACCAATTTCGCAGACAAAAACTAGCTAGCTCTCTATAGCTAGTGTAACTGTGTAAGATATTACTTCAGAAAAAGCCGACAAGAAGGATAGATATCCATTATCAACAATTCCCTTATTCTTCTACCTATATATATAACTGAAAAAAATAAACTATTCTACTTCTATGTATATAGTTGTAATATATATATGATTAAGAACCGTAAATATCTCTTAAAAAATATCATCCTATAATATCCTATCATAACAATTAACAACAACCATGACTATCACATCAATAACTTTGTTATCATTTTGGCATATATACACATGTCATTTAAATAAAATAAAAATATACCAATGAATTTACAACTTCATGAGCTTGTATAAATAGTCTGCATGCATCTCACTCTCTCCCCAACCAACTCATATACACATTATATCTCTCTCTTAGCTTACTCTCACCCCAACCAATCTCACACACTCTCTCTCTCTCTCCTCTTCTTTATCTAGCTAGCTTTAAGAATACAAAAAATGCAATACAAAACAGAAACTAGAGGGTCTAATTTGTCCTACAACAACAGTAAGGTGATGAACAACATGAATGTGTTTCCGGCAGAGACACTGGCGAAGATAGAGTCGATGGCGGCAGAGAATGCCGTGGTTATATTCAGCGTGAGCACTTGCTGCATGTGCCACGCTATCAAGCGTCTCTTCCGTGGAATGGGAGTCAGCCCCGCCGTCCATGAGCTTGACCTCCACCCTTACGGCGCAGAGATCCACCGCGCTCTACTTCGTCTCCTTGGCTGCTCTAGCGGTGGCGCTACTTCTCAGGGGGCACTACCGGTCGTGTTCATCGGAGGGAAGATGGTAGGAGCAATGGAGAGAGTGATGGCTTCACATATTAATGGCTCACTCGTCCCTCTTCTCAAAGATGCTGGCGCACTGTGGCTGTGACGATCCCATTATCTCCGGACCAACCTTTCGTTTTTCTTTACTCTCTTTGGTTTTTAAGGACAACCAAAAAAAAGGAACTTAGGTTAAATCTAGCGTGTTAGTGTCAGTGAGAGAGAAGAGTGGTGCGTTTGTTTTAAGCTTAGCTCTTTGTCTATCTTAATCACACTAATATATAAAATGTGTTTACTATAATCTCCTTTAGCTCACTGGTTAGCTTTTTCTCATCTCTAATTTTACAATTTAACAGGTTAGTTTTGAACAAGATATAAATTAATTGTCAAAATTAAGACAAGAAGGAAGAGGTTTTTATTTCATGACCTAAAAATCTTAACCGTTATAACTGTTAACTGTGGGGGAAAATAATCTCGCCTATGAAGGTCCCCACACTCCAGATGACGTGGCCCGTGGGATACCTATACAAACAATAATCCGTGATTTTGACCCGACCGTTGCGTCAAGACTAGCCCCCCCGCACAACAATGCTGTGGCTGTTCCTTCTTTAAAACGTCACTGCTGATTTTACTACTACGGGTCCGAATGATCATCTATAAAATTCGTTGCTAAAGTTACATTAAAATAATGTAAAATACAAGGTCACATTTTTCTGAGATTAGAAAGGTTAACTTAACATTTTAATACTTGAATTAAAAATTTATTAAACGGCTCATCGTGAAGAAGAAATGGAAGCTAAGATGGCATATACCGTGAGAAAAAATATTCATTAGAATATAAATCCTACGTAGACAATAAACGACTTGTAACGTATAAGTCACCCAGAGATCTCTCGGTCACAGCCTACATGTTGTTATTATAGGACCTACACAGACAGAAGAATAAAGGGGAAATACAATTTGGGGAATCTAATTGCTAAAAAGCCTATATAGAGCCTACTGGTGTGTGTGTGTGAGTAAATTATGTGTGCTCAATTGCTCGAATAAACGGAATAATGGAATCAGGATCAGATGATGAACAGAAACACGCCAACAGGTCAGAAGAAATTGTGCTAACTAGAGATGGCGACACCTCTTTGATCCATTTCATATGTCTGATTCCGACCTCCACCTCTCTCGCATCAGCCGCACATTTCAGCAACACAACATGTGCACTTGTGTGTTCCAAGTGGTCTCGCTCGCCCAGCAGCTGCGATGCCTCACCAAACTGGCCTACACACACACCAAAAGAATCAGCCAGAAAACTTTACTTAATGCAATAAAACAACCAGAAGACATATTTGTTCTCTCACCGTTGCTGCATAGAATTAAGACAAATGCGCTTAATACTCTTGTTGCAACTTGTTTATCCCTCTCCATGCACTTTCTATAGACTTCCATAGCAGCTTCAAGTTTTGTCTCTTTGCATAGGCCTTCAATGAGAGACGTATAGATTGTTTCATCTGGTTCTATCCCTTTCTCAAGCATCTTTTGAAACAGCCTCAAAGACTCCTTTGCCTCGCCTTCCTCTGACAACTTCCTAATAAGTACATTATATGTCGTAAGATTCATTCTGCAGCCCTCCACAAACATCTCATCCCACAGTTTCTTCGCTGGACGGATCATTTCCGCTCTACAACAAGCTTCAATAAGAGCATTATAGAGTGACACGTCTGGATCAAGCCCTTTCTTTTTCATCTCGTGCAGAGCATTGTAACCTTCTCTGACTCTCCCGGCCTTGCACAAGAACGATACCATCAGACTGTAACTCTCAATCTCTGAGAAATAACCTTTGCTTGACAGAAGCTCATAAACCTTTACCAGGTGGTCGCTCTTGTCGTGCCTGCAAAGATTCTTACTCAATTTGCTCAGAGTCCGAATTGCAGGCAATTTCCCTGTACTCACCATGAAATTCAAGAAGTCAACAGCAGAATCTGGATCGACTGCAGAGACTGATCCGATTAACGACTCTAAGATATCATTATCAATGAGGAAATTCCCACTCACAATCACCTCAGCCACTTCCTTAGCCTCTGTTAATCGTTTAGCGGAAATCAAATCCAGTATGAAAGCTCGGTAATCGCTGCCCCTGGGTGCTACTCCCAGCTTTCTCTTCTTCTTTAAGACGACCTGTCTCTCATACAGATTCCCAGTTACTACAAATGCTTCAGCTATGATTCTATAGGCCATAAAATCCGGTTTGCAATCTCTATCCCTCAGCTCTTCCAAAATGTAAAAAGCGTCCATTTCTCGTGAGGATTTACAAAGACCATGGAGAATCAACAGTGCAACGATTGAGCCATTGATGTTTGAATTAGCCTTTTTCACCTCATCAACCAATCTCAAGAGCTGATCCGTTTCAGAACTTCTACAAAACTTTCCTATATACACGCCGAAGCCAACAGTATTCAAAGAAATACCTCTTTGGCGCATTGTAACAAACAGTTTATGAGCATAATCGTAACACCCATCAGAGGTTAAAGCAGCTAAAAGACGATTACAAACATCGGGATGAATCTCCCGGCCCGTCGAAAGAGCTTCTTCTAAAACCCAGAACGCGCTCTGAGCTTTCCTACCCAATACGAGTGCATCAATGAGTGAGCGATACACGGAAGAATCGAGAAGGATTTTGTGCGACTTGACCTGTTTGAAGAGAACGTCGATGGCGGAGAACTGTCGAGAAAGCGAGAGAGACTTGAAGATGGAATGGTAAGAGACGGAGTCGTGAGAGTAACCTGGTTGCTGAGCAGCCCAATTGAAGAAACCAAGAGCAAGGGAATGGTGATTCAGGAGAAACGGGTCAATGACTCGAGCCACAAGCGAAGGACTTATTGAATTACGAAAGCCAAGACTGTGAAGACTCTGTTCAACCGATGGACTCCACATCCGAGCTGATCGAGAGCTTCCTGAAACTTTAAGAAGCTCACGGCCGATACTCACAGCAAGCTCCGCCGCAGGTCTCATGGTCGGAGCCCTTTAGAAGTGTTAATTAGAAGATACAGATCTTCAATAGCAACAGGTCTCATGGACTTTAATTAAAAACAAAAACGGTTAATTAAAGTCCCGCCGAGAAGCTGACGTCATTCATCATTTCAGGTTACTGACACAAGTTAGGGAGAAGAAAGAATGAGCAAATATGGTGAGCCAGTGGTTTCATTGGTTAGCAGAATGGCCCATTCCAAAAATATCACAACTTTGCATCCGTGATTAATATAATTTACTACCCATTTTTGGCCCATCAAAGTATCTGCAAATATCTGAAAATAAAGTTAATAAACACAGTAAAATGTTTTCTCAATTATTCACTTGTGATTCTAGAAGAATATTTATAAGTTTCTAGAGGAAAATGACATGGCATGGCAACCACCGCATTTAAAATATAAATATATAATATATGTATTTAAATATATGTTTTTAAGATTAGGTTTGTTTCAAATTAGTTATTTTGGCATTGTCGGTTAAGATCAGATTAATAAATAATTGGCGAGCAAAAAAAATAAAAAAATAAAAAAAGATTACTAATCTCTACGCAGGACTTGCTAGATGAAGCCTGTAGAGAAATTAAGAGATTAAAGAAAAAACAACTAAATGTGTGTGTAGTTGGGAATAATATCGAGTTTAGATACAATAAGGAAAGTGAAAAAGTTGGATATGATACCAAAAGAAGATATGATTGAGGAACAGGAAAGGAAGATATGTCGACTTATCAAGTGTCCACGTGAATTTGACATAAGTCGATCAAATTCTAAGAAATAGAAGATAATGGAGTCGGAACAATCGAAGTGACTCCAAATTGCATAATTTAGCATTTGTAAGTTTGTTTAAATCAGGCACCAAAAGTGTTCTTGGTCCCATACCCTTATTACCTACCTTCTGTTTGTTCCTTTGTTTCATCCCAAAGATGCTTCCCTGTAATTCTGAAATTCCCAAAAATTGACCCCTTTTGCTTTATCGCTATCTTTTCATATCTGTACTAACTAATCTATTCTGCATTGTCTATGCTGTTAGATTCATGACTCTCTCTCACCACCATATCCTAGTTATAGCTAACAAGTTCCTACTTGATTTACCAAAACAAAACCCTGTGCTATAAACTGCTATGGAAATGGGTTTAGAATTATTAGTAGAGGAGAACAAACTTCAACAGCATTACGAGTTGTAATATTAAAAAACACTGAAGCAAACAACAGTACCTGATGTCGCAGACAGCCTCACTTGTCTGAATCAACTATCCCCAAAGTCTTCGCTGTTTTGTCATGGAGCTCCTATATGCTTCCTGGAAAAAGTACTCTTTCTTTACTTTTCTGGAGGATGGTCATCTATCCAAATGCATTTTCTCTTGTCGGAGACAACAAAATCAACAATGCAGTACTCTCAATATTGAAAAATCATTACAGCATAATGCAACCTCAATCACTCTAAGTGAGCAAGAAACCAGCATAGATGTTATTTCCAGTAAACAAAATTAATATTTATGCAAAGCAGCAAGCCAGCTACTGTGTAAAACAAAGTTTACACAAGTCACATAATGAGTTTGTTCCATCCAGTCACGCTGGCTATGTAACCAGATTTCAAACCAAATGCATACTTCTTTCTAGCATACAAAAGATGGATGGACCATTTAATTGTAATTTGCAGGAAGGGGTGTCTAAAAATGAAGGTCTACACAAAAAAAGCAATAGCACAAATTGATTTATTTGCAACTGACTTGTAGATTTAGTATTAATGGCTCACGAACGCCACACAAAACCACAAAATTTTCCAGTATTGAAACTAGAATCATGATACAATTGTAATACCTGAGATGATTGATGATTGTAGTTAAGGATATCTACTCCACCAATGAATTTGCGCGTCATGTAACCACAACAGTAGGGGCTCATATCTGTAGTGTCCCTCCAACTTGTTCTTGATGTGATCTTGATAGAGAATGGCCAACCAGAATTTTGTAGCTTTCTTGGTGTTGGTCTCCACTGTCATCAAGCTAAAAGGCGTGAGATACTGTTGCAACCAATTCACTGCTATATCAAGAGCTTTCAAGCAATCATGGTTCTCTATAAAAGTCACTTTCTTCTCTAGTATTGTGTGAAAACCGAAGCACAAAAATGAAGGTACGGTCTTTATCTACTAAAAAAAAAGTTAACTAACTTGTAGCTAATACTTACCAAAGCTTCTTTTCTGGCAGTTTTGGGGCTGGATGCATCATAAGTTCCGGGAGAATAGCAAAGAGCCATTAAAAGATGCTACCACTGGTAATATTACTGTACTTCTCTGATGCTTCTTTCTTGTCAAATATGTAGAACAAGAATAGGAAGCTTATTTGAATCCTAAGAGAATAGCAATAGGACTTAAACATGCATTTCAGCGCCAAGTAATTATCTCACTACTTTAATATTCATTTCTAGAAAATTAAACTGCTGACCTGATTAAAGACTAGGATCATACACTACTTTGGAAAGCATTGTGATAGTCTGGTAACTGAATAAAATGCCCGCCAACTCAATTTGACATCAAATTTGTATTACACGTCAATCTTGTGAGTGATAGCAGCAAAATTAGATATCTCCCACGCAAGTGTCATCCAGTAATTTCATGCATCAGCGTGCTGCGTGCCTATTGCAACGATAACACATTTTCTCTATTTCCTGAGCAAATGCATATGTTCCATGGCCTTACTTTTCTAAAAAGTAAATAATTCTGCGGCTCACATCACATGGAATTCCATTTCAGGTAACAGCTATGCCATCGTATCAGCTCATACATCCCTTGATAGCCAAGATGGTTACCCCACAGCATGTGCTGGCTCCAGATACAATACTGGATTCAGAAAACAAGTTAACCTGTTCCAGGAAAGCTCCTTCGCAGGACCCATGGAAAATATAGAAGAAAACATCAAGGATGAGAGAACCAGTGACTTTTTTGATGGATTTCTTGCCATTGGAACCCTTGGTGGAGAAACACTTCTTAATGAACCAGCAACACCGACATTTGGCATGTCTTTTGAGGACCCAGCATTAGATAACGCAGATGTGACTGAGAATGATTTGAAGCTCATTAGCAATGAATTGGAGAAATTCCTTGAGGCTGAAGCTAAAGAAGGACAGCACCAACCATCAGGAAGAAACAGTGACACTAACACTATTGCATCCACCATTGAGGCCATTGAGGGACTAGATGCTGAAGAAGATAATCAGCCAATGAAGTTCCCACTCCAAGAATATCTTTTTGGTTCTCTAAACGAATTCCCAGAAACAAAGATTGCAGGGAAGAAGGAAAGGGCATCACTTGGCGAACTGTTTCAAATTACAGAAGTGCAAGATAAACACTCAGAAAACATATATGGGAAGAAAAAGAAGCAAACCAGTTCAGCTCACAAGTCCGCAAAGCATCTTGTGAAGAAGGTGCTGAAAAAGATACACCCGTCCTCAAAAAGCTCTGTCAGTGGTAAAACTGAAGTGGACTCCACAAAGAAGAAGTTCCAAAAGGTAGGATTTTTCTGCTCTGGTTTTCAAAACTTATTTAAAACACCTGCATGACAGATACTACATCTCGAATTATACACCAAACTTATTTACTTGATAGCAGTTTTCTGTAGTACATTTACAGAATTAGCTATAAATGCACCAATGAAAAGTTTACTCCTAACATACTTGAATTCAATTTGAGGAGTGCAGATGGTGCAAGTTTTCCATAGGAAAGTTCATCCAGAAGACTCCATAATGGAAAGCGAAATATACAACAGCATTGCAAATCCAGAAAACAGCAAAGCAAATTCTATTGACATAACGTTCGAGAAGGTGAACTCCTGTCAAGAGGCAAGTAAAAGATGTATCCAGTATGAGCTGAGAAGTTCTCGCTCAGCTAAAAACGGAGAACACTGGATCAAAACAGACGAAGACTGTAAGTGCACCATCACATGAAAGTTGAAACTAATAGAATTGTCTGCATAATTCCATCTAACTCAAAGGAAGAATATAATTCTAAGTTTCACAAATATTTAGGATAACTATTGAGTTTACAAAAAAAAAAATTAGGATGGCCATTGGAATTTGGACAACAAATTTTTTGATACATTGACATTTAGGCATGCACAAGTCTTCTGGTTCTGGCCGAACCAACTAATAATCCATAATTGCTTTGCAGACTTCGTGCTGGAGCTGTAGCAAGAGCCAAGAGATCAGAAGAAATACGTAAATTAAGAAGTATGAGTGTATTATATCACTTCATGCATGTGTGAATTGTGTGGTATGATTAAGGAAAATGTGTTCAAACTTACTGGGAATGTTTATTACGCCCCTCTATGTAATAATAAATGTTACAGGGTGTTATAATTGCAAGCAAGATATCTCATATACATTATTTGGAGTATTAAAAGAAGAGAATGCGCACATAATTCTAATCCAATTATGTTTCGACTTCAAAAGAGAGACACGCTATCTTTCTCTCAACTTATAAACCACAAAAGAACTTACATAGACAATCCACCATAACTGAAGTAAAAAAAAAAGACAATCCACCATAAAGTACCTGATGAAAACCTATATTATTTCTTTTGCAACAATACCCGAAAAAATCAGTAGAATTCAAGCCAAACCTGGTATGGACCTTTCGGCAGTAGTGACCATTGACTAAAGTGGGGGACGTTCTGCAAGAAGAACACCACCTGTTTCCATTCTCCATGACTGGTCGACCAAGGCTGTTAACTCTCTGCAGTAATGTTCATACAAAAAACGAGAGAGGAAAATGCACCAGCAGTTAATGTTAAACGGATACATTGAATTTGTTACTTTTATGAGAGCTCAAACTAAGTTAAATCAGGACAGGCCGTGATGAATACTTGAAAAATGATTTTTTCGGGAAACAACTATATAACAAAATTCTGAATCGTTGCGCAGAAGAAGTGCTGATTTAATTTCCATACTTTTTTCATGAAGTGAAAGAAACAGTATAATGAGCATACCTTAGGTCATGACTTACAACAAGTAGAGTCAGTTGCTTCTTAAGTTGCTTCAAGAGCTTTGCAACATCTGCACGTGCTTTCCAATCTGTTTGCAGACAAAAATCAACGATGAAATAGTATGAGAAACTTTCATGATTTTCATGCAAAAAAAAAAAAAAAAAATGCAGAGAGAATGACAAAGCAAAAAAACACATCTTGTGTAAAGAATGAGAAGCAGAAAACCCTGAGAGACAAGGACATAAGTACCTGCCGATACTACAGTCTACAGGAAAGGAAAAAATAAATCCAGGCAAACCCAAGAATAAGAAGAAGCAGGATGCAAAATTATACCAAGACCAGCGAGGGGCTCATCCAGTATCAGTAAATCTGGAGTTTGGACCTACAAACAGCAAGACTATTCAGACCAGGTCTCAGATTGGAACACATCATAAATCTTTGTTCTCACCAACTGAATAGCTAGTGCAAGCCGACGCTTGTAGCCTCCACTTAGTAACTGGGGATCTTTATCAAGTGGAATGCTGTCTAACCCAACCTAACGTTTCAATAAGAAAGCTACTATAAGATAAGATCGCTGGACACAATATAACCACTGTGCGAACCAGGAGGAGTGAGATACCCAATGAAATGCTCTCTGGAGATTCGAAGTCAGATGCTCCTTTAACTCCAAACTACCTTTTTGCCTTGGCCAACCAAAAGTAATTTCATCAAGCACATTATCTGCTACAAAGAATCTAACCGCCATAAAAAAACAAACCACATCAGTTATTCTTGTCAAGTAAACCAGCAGTATCAAACCTGAAAAGGTAGCAAAAAAGATGACAATAATGACTAATACCTCTCTGGAAACTGGAAAACAATGCCCACCTTTTCAGTGGGCAGCAACTCTGAATCCGCCTTTGGATGGCCATCCTCCCCATATCTTTGGATACAAATGGAACCTGATGTTGGTTTGTTTAGTCCAGCAAGAAGCTGCAGAAGAATGAAAAGTTGCTAAGACTACAACTCAAAGAACAAGCGTGAAAAAACTATGTGTGATGACAATAAACCTGCAAAAGGGTGGTTTTACCGCTCCCACTCTTCCCAAAAATCAAGCCAAAGCTGCAAAACGAAGAATTAAAACACAAAATTCATTAGTAGGCTTATTTACACACGAGACCTCAAGAAAATGTTTATGCAACGGACAAATAGTAATGACACAAGGAAACAGCGGAACTACCTTTTCTCGCGCAGAGAAAAATTAACTCCATTCAAGATATTTAATTGTGTTCCAGGAGGACGGTAGCAAACATCCCTAACCTTAAACATAATAAAAGAAGGCACTATCACCAACCAATCAGTTTTTTCTTAACACATAGAATGAGTAGTGGATTCTGAAAACCCACCTCGATGCAAGAATAATCGCAAGAGACTACCCGAGGCTTCTTAGTCCTCCGAATTTTCAATCTGCCCAAAAGCCGCAGAAACACACAAAAAAAAAAAACACTTCACTATGTGAGCAATCAAGTAACGATGAAGAGGAATGAATGTTTATGGAGGTCGTGAGGAAGTAGCGTACGGTTGCTTCCGGCCAATTGCGACGGAATAAAATGATGTTGGTGGTTCAGCGATGGCGGAGATAGATGCTGGGCTCAAAAACGCCGACACTGCCATAGTCAGCTGTATGAGCCTTTGTCAATTTCTCGAACTAAGGAAGTTGAAATCTAAGAGAAACCAAATTTCGAAATCCCCCGAAATTTTCAAATTCCCATTAAAAAGTGTACTGGAAAAAAGAAAAATGATGATGATCGGAGAACATTGGCGGAAAATAAGAACCAGCCTGATTTTGGATAGAGTGGGCCTTTATTGGGCTTTTTGAAGCTAATTTGCTATCCTTTTAACGATCTACAGTAACTTGTTTGGTCACCGGTTCGAGAGCTGAATTTTACAACTGCAGCAACGTAAGTAGGTATCCAACTAAGAATTTTAAGATCATGTATTTCCGATATAACAGAACAATTACCTTGTGGAAACTATGTAATCGCAAACAAAAAACACAGAACAGAATTATATTATTGTGTTTAGCTTCCAAGAATGCTGAAACGTAACGAGGTGGGATCGATACAAAACCCAAAAAAAAAAAAAAACCCTTCAAAACATGAAACCAAAACCCCTCAGCTCAATAGTTAAGTAGACAATAGTGTCGAAACCAAAGTCATTAATCCGACTCTAACAAAAGACTACTGGTAGTATTATATATATAGTGGCAGACTTAATCCTTGTCTTTTGGAACGTCCTTCTTCGGAACCTTTGTCTCTATTTCCTTTGGTTTTATGGACTCAGCTGCCCTGAAAACCGCATTAAACTCATCAGTCACACAACACACAGAATTTGCTTTGTGTCGCTACAGATCATCTATCACTAATACCAACATTGCACAATCACACAGTTATACCCACCTAAACCACTGCCATCATAATCAAAATCTTTTATGTTCAATCAAGCTACCAAATCTCAGATGATCTGACAATACAACTGATGATCACAAAACAATTCAAGTATCTTTACAATAAGATATATCATAGTATAAAGAATGAATCATGTATCTTTGGTTTAGATACTTCCATACAAATTCAATCAAAGAGAACCAAATTGCTTATATATTGACCTCTAAATGACTAACTTGTTACTAGTTACTAACTTACTAGCAGCTGCAAATAATATCACCAAGTAGACAGACCTTACAATTATTCATATCATAAGCTTTCCAACAACGAAGCTTGCAATGGAAAATCAAAAGCTAAAGACTAAACCGTTTTACGAAAATCACAAGTCCCAAACCAACACAACACATTTGTGAAAGAGAAATCATAAGGAATCAAGAGAGAGAGAGGACTGACTTGGAGGAGGCGGCGGAGGATTCTTCTTCGAGCCAGTGGCGGATGTGCTTGACGTTTCGCCTTAAGACGGTGGCAGATTGCTTGACGTCGCTCCTCAACAGCATCACCACGGCGCCTACTCCGGCCACCGTCAATATGAAATTCGTCAAACCCATTATTCCGATTAACGATCCGTAAACTCCGATTCTCAGATTGTACTGGCTTCTGGTGGTTGGAAGCTAGGGATTTAAAGAGGGCTTAAGTTTTTTTTTTCTTTTTACTTGGAGAAGCAGCCAAGGCTGATGATTCGATCGTCGTGCGTGATTCACTCTGAATTTTCTAACCAGTACCACCCCGTTTATTGGGCCTTCGTTTTGCATATTGTATGGACTCTTTTACGATCACTTAAAAGCCCATTTAGTTCCACCATTTAATCAGGTATATCCGTGTTTGTAATGTGTAGCATATACAGTTGGTAACATACTAACATATACTGTATATGGTCACAGTTTATTCCATGTTGACACTATTTTTTATTATTCTATCTTTTTAATGTTACAAATGACACAACTCTAGTGGACCATGTTGATCTAAAAGAAAAATTAAAACAAAACTCCATCCATCGAATTTAATTAATCATCAATATCGAATAGTTTCTTTTTAATGAAAACCTGAGAAACTGTGGACTTCATTCACCGTGACGACGATATCTTGTTCTGATTGAGTGCAAGTTTGATTCGAGAGATACTAATTAATTATTATCTTATCTCGAATAAGATAACAACATATATATACCTTTCACATGTTGTTTTCATAATTAGCAACTCTATCATCAATAGCAAAGTCAATACAAAATCTCTTTTTTTTGTAGATACTTTATCTAATGTGTCTTGTTATTGTTTAAGGGGTTGCTTCACGTTTGGTGAAACTACCTTCTTCTTAGTTATATGGGATTCATCTAAAGAGCGATTATATTATATCTCTAACCACAACTAGATAAGATTATGTTTGTATGCATCCATCAAACTATAAGTTTTAAGACCCAAAAATATATGCACGATGCATGCTTGCATGTATGCTGCTTTATCAATGACATGACGGTTCACATATAGGAAATATAAAATTAACAAAACAATTTTTTTTCTTAAAAAAAACAGCAACAATCAAGAGAAAGGAGTCATTGTAACTCTAGTACAAAGTACTTAAATGGAAATCAGAAATCAAAACAGAGAAAAGACAAGGGAAAAATTAATGATGCAGCTGGCCGCGAGAGGGACACAAGAGGACGATGATTAGGCAGCGTAGATGTGGATATGAAGAGCGATGAGGGAGACTGTGATGCAGGCAAAGAAGATGAGAGTGTGAATGACAATGGCTCCGCCGCTTGTTTGAAAACCGCCAAACTCAACCACTTTGGTCTTCCCAGGAAACTGAAACAATACTCCGGGGGTCAATACGATGAACAGAATCACCGACATTAGGACTGGTCCCCAGTTCAACGCCATATCAAATGTAAAGAACCAATCAGCAGTTAATTATAATTATGTAAGTAAAACAATCTACGAGTTTAAGTATAGGAGTACGTTTGAATGCACCCATGTATGTGATTTTTATATATAAGATGGAGGATCTTAATGAAACAGTGCGTGCCTTGAACCGGACGAAATTACGAAGTTTGCAAGGTGAAGGAAAGAACTATTCTCTGCAGGCTGCAGCTACTCGATTGTGTCAAAATTATATATTCTAATAACGACACATTGTGTGTATTGATTGTTGGGTATGCTAAGAATCTGATTCTTGTTTCACAGGACATGTGGTCTGTCTCTTGTTTTTATGTTACAAAGAGACACTTGCCTTTTCTTTTCTTTTTTTTCATTTGGCTAGAGCTAGAAGAGACGACTCTGGCCTTTAGAAGAGACACTGGCCTTTGCAAGTCTGTCTTTATTTTGAGCTCATAGTTGGTAAATTCAATAAATGCCTATAGTAGCTTAATATGTGTAGTAGTAGTAGGTAAGAAATACTAGCTGTTACTCCCGCCTTATTTGAAGGCAATATGAAATGGATAAGCCACATTAAGCTGATCGAATAATTAGGAGACGACGTTTATGTGCCAAAAACAAAGATGATAAAAAATTGTTGTCCATATATTTCTTAAACTTATCCATATCCGAGTCAAGCCGCTCACATCTTCCTTTTTATTATATAATTTAAACACATGTGTGTCTTTTATTTTGTTGAGTCGATTTTTCTTTTTAATTTTAAATAGCATGTTGCTCTACTATAAAATCTTTCTCAATATATATTTTCTCATATAAAAAAAAAAGAAAAGGAAAAAAAACACACAAAGGGAAAACGACACTTCACCCTATTCTTGATTTTCCAAACGCGATTCTTGATAAGAAAACGTATATATAGTCGATATATAAATAAATAAAAGAAAACGTATAATGAAACAAACCAACCATATTCATCATTTGATTTAATGCCAAAAAGGTAAAACAGTGTCTTATGCTAATTTCCAAAGTAGTTATGCATGCAAGTTGGGTAACTTGCGTTCATATAATTAGAGCTATTGGCAAAAAAAAAAAAAAAAAAAAAAAAAGACATGCTTGCAAGTTGTTTTATTTTATTTTAAATTATAGTATAACTACAAACCAAGTTTTGTTTTTCTTACAATAGTTAGAAGGAGTTGCGAGTTTGGTTTTGAAAGTTAATGACACTATGACAGGTAACGGTGCAACTATCAACACTAACCGCTCTCTCCCGATTATAAAATGAAGGGAACAACTGCCAGAGAAGTGTGATACAGTTAAAATTCTAGCTATTAGAATTGTTGCGCATGACACGAAACGGTTTCGATAGTCTTTTTAATATGGAAAACGCAACGAGAGTGAGATTTACAAATGAACTTATATAGAACGGATTCTAGCTACTTGATGTTCTTTAACTGATAATGACACCAATCATAAATATAGCAAATAGCTACACTTGTAATCTTTTACCTGGATTCTTCTTTTAGTGAAAAGATGTGTCCCTTTATAATAAAGATATCAAATAAATACAGCTAATTGTATATCTCCGAAATATATGGTTATATCACTTCTAATATCAAGATATTTTCCATATTTATTTCTCACATGTATCTCGTTTCTTAACGTCTCAAAATTCCGTCCAAGAGACTAATTGTGATAACGTGCATGTATAATTTCAAGTAATTTCAAGCGATGGCCCTTTGATGTAAAAGGAATTAAAATGTTAATTTGGACATAATTAAAAACGAGAATTTTGATAAGAATTTTCTTATTCAATTGGCACGGAGTATGAACAATGACAATTAGTAACGTTATTACATTAGTTTGAGGCATTCACTAATTTTAGGCTTTTGTGTAGAATTCTTTTAATCAATTCAACGTGCATGTATATATACTATAGTTGGTAACAAGAATACAATATATTGTATTTTACTATCCTAGTTTTCGTAGTTATGCTAACTATACATTGCATTTGTATTTATGTTTTCTTAGAAAGGAATATGAATATATTATATTATTTGTTAATGATAATGTTGAATAGCCGTACGGCGGTATGGGATAATACACCATAATCACAAGACTGAACCGTGCCGGCACGCTATTAAAGAGAAAAGCAATGGGAGGCAGGCACGCACAGATCATTGAAGAACAGTGACCAGTGGGTGTGACAACAATTTTGCATTTGACTACTCATCAATATCATCGAGCCTTTTGTTCTTCGATTTGTACACGTCTTCCTTATTAAAATCCACTTGTGTAAGTTATAATAACTATCAAATATTAATCAATAATTACCCTAATTTAACAAACAAAACAGTAATCACAACTATTTAGCCGATTGGTTTCCAATAGCAAATATTTTCTTTATGTCTAATCTATCCCTTATGTCTTGTCTTTTTGTTTAATTTAAGACAATAAAAAAAGGATAAAATCGTGTCAAAGACAGACAGGACAGACAGACGAATATTGAAAAAGCTAGAAAATAAAAGGAAATTTGTTTTTCTGTTCTTCCTTTCCAAGACGACATATTTCGCCGATCATCCTCTGATCCAAATCGTCCCGGATTCTCCCGGTGGCGGAGAGAAGAAATAAAGGAAACCCAGAAAGCATAATTCTCAATGGCGTCGACTACACGAGAAAAGTTTAAGTCTTTCATAAACAACAGATGGCTCGTCTTCGTGGCTGCCATGTGGATACAGTCTTGTGCTGGCATGGGTTATTTGTTCGGAAGCATTTCTCCGGTGATCAAAAGCTCCTTAAACTATAACCAGAAGCAGCTTGCCAGACTTGGAGTCGCTAAGGATCTTGGTGATAGTGTCGGCTTCATCGCCGGGACTCTCTCTGAGATCTTGCCTCTCTGGGCCGCTCTTCTTGTCGGAGCCGTTCAGAACCTCTTCGGTTACGGATGGGTTTGGCTTGTCGTCACCGGTCGAGCCCCGATTCTTCCTCTATGGGCTGTGAGTATTTGATCCTTCTTTCATTTTCTCCGTGGGTAAAAGCTGAGGTCCTTCAGATTCATCTGGTTTATAATTTGGCTTGGGTAAAAGTTTCTGGGTACTGGGAAAAGTTTGGAGACTTTCAATTCAAATCCGCTTTCAGAGAATCTCTGAGACTATTTGCTTTTAAGGTTGTTTGGGTTACTAATACGTCGCTGTCAATTCTATTACAGATTCTACCTTCTTTCTCTTCATCTCTTGTTTTACTTTTGTTGAATTTGATCTGCTTCTGGGGAATTTGTTGGCATTTCCTATGATAATGTCGTAGATTCGCTGGTTTATTGGGAAAAGTGTTAATGAGAGTTTAAGATCCGATTCATCTCGATTATAAGAATTAGTATATTCTTTGCTGACACAAGTCTTTTTGTATGTTTAATTCTCTCTGGTTTTCAGATGTGTGTGCTCATATTCATTGGAAACAATGGTGAAACCTACTTCAATACTGGAGCATTAGTCTCTGGTGTTCAAAACTTTCCCAAGAGCCGAGGTCCAGTGGTGGGTATTCTCAAGGGGTTTGCTGGGCTAGGTGGCGCCATCATCTCTCAGATATACACAATGTTCCAATCATCTAACCCGGCCTCTCTCATTCTCATGGTCGCTGTTACGCCTGCAGTTGTCGCTGTTTGCTTCATGTTCTTAATCAGACCCGTTGGTGGTCACAAGCAGATCCGTCCCACCGATGGAGCCAGCTTTACTTTCATCTACGGTGTCTGCCTTCTACTCGCTACCTATCTCATGGCCGTTATGCTTATTCAAGATTTGGTCGTCGTTAGTCACAACATCATCACTGTGCTCACCTCTGTGTTGTTTGTCATTCTTGTTGTTCCAATCTTGGTTCCAATCATGACTAGTTTCTTCACAGAGACAAGCCCTCCTGATGACACAATTGAAGAACCTCTTGTCCCAAAACGCGATGACCAGGAACCAGGACTGCAGACCCCTGATCTAATCTTGAGTGAAGTGGAAGATGAGAAGCCAAAAGATGTAGATTTGCTTCCTGCCTCAGAGAGACATAAGAGAATTGCGCATTTGCAAGCACAGCTAATGCAGGCAGCTGCAGAGGGGGCGGTTAGGGTGAAGAGACGAAGAGGGCCTCACAGAGGAGAAGATTTCACTCTTATGCAGGCACTGGTGAAGGCTGACTTCTGGCTCATATTCGTTTCCCTGCTCCTCGGTTCTGGTTCGGGTTTGACAGTAATTGACAATCTTGGTCAGATGAGTCAGTCTCTTGGTTATGATAATACTCACGTGCTTGTGTCTATGATAAGCATTTGGAACTTCCTTGGACGCGTCGGTGGTGGTTACTTCTCCGAGCTCGTTGTCAGGTTTGATTTCGCAGAAAGCCAAAAACTTTGAGTCGTATCATCTGTGGATTTCATCTCTGCTTTCTGTGCTCTGTTCTGACCTTGATTTGAATGATGTACAGGAACTATGCTTATCCAAGGCCTGTAGCAATGGCTGTGGCTCAGCTAGTAATGTCTGTAGGACACATCTTCTTTGCGTACGGATGGCCAGGAGCGATGTACATTGGCACGCTGTTGATTGGACTCGGATACGGTGCGCATTGGGCTATTGTCCCAGCTACTGCCTCTGAGCTCTTTGGTTTGAAGAAGTTTGGAGCTTTATACAATTTCCTGACACTGGCAAACCCGGCTGGATCCCTTGTGTTCTCGGGTATGATTGCGAGTAGCATCTATGACAGGGAAGCAGAACGGCAAGCACACGGGTCTGTGTTTGGTCCAGATGACGCCCTTAGATGCGATGGTTCTATCTGTTTCTTCTTGACGTCACTCATAATGTCTGGATTCTGCGTCATCGCTTGCATCATGAGTATGATTCTTGTGCGTCGTACCAAGTCTGTTTACACTCACCTCTATGGCAAGACCCACACCTAAGATATATGCTCCCTATCATGTGTGATCGTGCTCAGCTTTCTATTCTTTGGTTTTGTCTTCGATTCTCCGGTACAGATGTTTAAAACTTCTCTGTATCGATTTTTTTTCTTCCTCTTTTTCTGTATCAATTTTGTTGTTGTTATTGTCAATTTTGTATGTTTTTTTTTTTGTATTCATATCCACGGCAACATCTACACAAATATCTTTAGACACTCCATATATGAAATAAATTGTTTTCAAATAATGTTTGGGATCTGAGTAATCCTGACAAATAGCTCAACCACTACAATTTTAATAAGTTCCATATTGTGGATTATGATTACATTTTAATATAGCAAAGCTTAAATCAAAACCTTGAGGCCTTAAATGTTTTATGTATTAAACATCCGGTCGGTAAAAAGCTAGTTGAAAGCAGAGCAATCCCTTCGAATCTCTCCTTGGTTCCCAACTTTAACCCCAACGCGGCCAAGATTCCTCATAGCAGATATAAAAGCGGCGTAGAATTCTCCGGCGTTGTTAGCAAACCTCATCACTATGGACTGAGTCGAGAGATCGTCAAACAGAACTTGATCGGAGGTGAAAAGGCCTTTCCTAGCCACTAGGTTCTGGTAGTATAAATTGTCGAAGACACGTCCGGTGGTTAGGTCAATTTCTACAACTTGGGCTGGGTTCCCGCCACTACGAGGGCAGGAACTCATCAGCTGTTGTGCGTAGGCCGGGTCAAGCGTAGGATCCACAGGCATGAACGTCGAGAAGTTGTAGAGACGGTTGGCGAAACGGTTGCAGTGAGAGAATCCAATCGTGTGTGCCCCTGAGAGAGCAATCATGTCGGTAAGTGAAAGCCCGTTACGAGCGAAGTTCTCGACTAAACCTCTCACGTCAAGCCCTGGTTCAGGTAACTTCCCGGTCACTCTAGACGCCTTGGACACGAGCCCGTCTCGTCTCCCTAGCTCCACCTTAAACCCTGGCCCTCCAACCTGTTATCATCACAAAGTAAGTGACTTTTTGACTTGGGAAAATCAAATGAAACGTACAGAGAGTGGACTTACGAGCACGACGACGTCTCTCGCGGCAAGAGCTAGTATATCGGCACATGACACAACGCCGGGACATTGAGCTTCTACAGCGGCTTTAGCTTTAATCACAGTGTCGAATCCGTCTCCGGCGAGAGATTTATTGTCCGGCGCGTCCTTCTCTGCGTCTTCATTCTCAGATGCTATCAAAACAGAGCCATCACATCCCTAAAAAGAACCAACCACATGATCACAATTACGAAAACGAATCCACAAAACTCTCAAAATTCTACAAAAGCCTTCATTGTTTTGTACATACCTCGACGAAGCAGTCGTGAAAGAATATACGTAGCGTTGCCGGAGCCGTCGTGGGAGTTTGTTGGAATTTTGTAGCAACCGCCTGCTGAACGATGCTCTCCACGTTAGGGCATGTGGAGGAGTAATAATTCTCAGACAGTTGAGCATCTGACTCGGCCACCATGTAAAACAGTAACATCCCCAAGAACCACATCATCATCATCATCATCGGTTTTGTTGAATCATCACCTCGACTATACATCTTGATCGCTTTCCTCCTTTTATGTTATTTGTGTCTTTAACTCTTCTCTTGATACAGTCCTCTCTTGAATATATAGGACCACACCAATCTTTTTCGACCCTTTGATATGCCACCGCATTTATCTTTAGCCGCTGGATCTAAATGTGTTTTTTAGTTTTTGGTGATTAAAAACAAGTCACATTCATCACAGGTGAATGCCAGAATTATTACCACTAGGAGCTTCTCACCTTTTACTTAAGCGAGAACATTTCTTGAGTTAGGGGGTTTTACTGACAATGACATTCTAACAAATCTTAATAGGTCAGGTCATCTGCATGGAAACGTTTTCTTAGAGATTTCAAAATAAATTGTCTTGATGAAACGTATAAAGTAAAGCTAAATAATACATTGTCGTTAAACACAAAATGGATAAACTAATCTCAAAAGTTGAGTTTGAAAAGTAGTCTTTGTCCATCCTAATATGATATTGATTTTGACTGATCCTTGAATTCAGTGGAATAACTGTTCTAATTTTAGTTCATCAACTTTAGCTCAACTGTTCTAACATTGAAGCCGATATTCAAATAAAAGATATAATTTAATCCAAATTTGGTTTCTTCCTACACAGCTTTCTTTAGGTACGATATGAATATGATAATTGTTAACTCTACCATATCACCACCGCACTACTTCTGTTTCTTATTCTAATAGAAACTTTAACAATTATTCAAATTGCTTATAGGTTAAAGTGTTATTTTCTACCAAAACAAATAAAAAGATAATCATATAATGATAACGTGGTGCAGTCAAGACGATGTTTTTTATGTTTGCTCATTCCAATATCAACCACAAATAATTGTAATGCAGGTGAACAAGATATAATATTATAGAACACATACCCAAACTAGAAACACTTAAGACATGAATTTATTCATTACTATATATTGTTGCATTGGAAAAAACAATCTAAATTAATCTAACAAACTAAATTAACCTAGCAAATAAAAAGATAATCATATAAGTGTTTTTTTTTCATTCAGTTTCATATGATATGGCGGTAGACTCTAGTTTCAAAATCATATCACATGAAATTGAATAAAAAAAAAAAAAAACTTAATTCATGTTTCCTGGACATGGGCCTGAGTTGGGCCGAAATAAAAGTGTATAGTCCGGGAATGATCCACTTACTAAAACGGAGGGGAGGAAATACAGTTAGATGCTTGTTTCATGTTTGGTGAGACAAAAACGAGTTTTTTTTTGTTTTTGAATTTCTTCTTCTAGTTCTGGAGGCGATGGCTATGGGTATGGCGGTAGACTCGGTGGGAGAGTTAGCATTCCCGGTCTGGAACCCAATCCGACGAAGATTTCCTCCCGATTCGCCCTTCTTTGCATCTGGAAACGTCGAGCGCGAATTACTAGCTAAACAGGTACTACTCCTTCTGGAATCTGAATCGGTCCAATCTTTTGTAATGCTCTTCTTATGGAATTACTCTGCACGGATCAATTTCGACCGTATTGTCCTTACGAGCTAATAACTAGTCATTAATGTTCCTATTGAATACTTGATGATGAATATTCGTGTTAGCTTGGCTCAAATCGAAGCACTTCTTAGATTTTTAAGGTTCTCGAAACGTTTTTGTGGAACTCCATATCCGTAGTGATAATATTAAGTTGGTTACTGTGTGTTTGGTTGTACTGTAATAGTGGACTTCATTTGGAAGATTTTATTTTTGGTGTTCTGATTAGGTCTAGCTTGATCAATTTGTGTAAAATGATTGTTTCATTCTTGCTCTGGTTTGATTTCCATGAAATTGCATGAATGTTTGGCCAATCATTGTGTTTTATCTACAAAAAATTATATGCTCGTAAGAGAGTTTTGAGTCCTGAGGAGCATTTGATTTACAGGTGGCATTGGACTTAACAGAAGACGAAATCAGCCATCTGCAGATAATTGTGGAAACTGAAAGCAGGTATTTATCCTTCTTCAGGGATAAGGTTTTTGTTTTGCTGTGATTGTTTTTTCTGTTAGTTAATGTACAGGATCCAGTCAACTATGGCAATGGTTAAAATTTGCAGATTTAGATTATTGCTTAATAGAGTTGAATGTTGTTTTTTACATTGGTTCTTGTTGATCTACTCGTGATGGGTACACTGAAGCTAATAATCTGAACAGTCTTTTTTTTTCTTGGTGAATCTTGATTGGTGTCAGTTATGCTACATCTGTGTGTTAGGAGTGCTTATAAGAATTCTAGCGAATAGTAACCAAATGGCCATAAATTGAATGACTGTTATGTAAGTAGTTCTTTTTCAATATTCACATTTTTAGTGTCTACCAGTAATGTAGCAACGTCATTGATCAAGTTTCAATTCCAATTTTTGTCCACAAGTCTCCATTGATGGTCATGAGCTTCACTTTTTTGCGCAGAAGAATCTCGTGTCCTATTGCTGGCTGCCTTGAGCGCCTGAAATCTCTGGACCATTTTGAAGATCACTATAATGCACGGCACACTGCGTCTTGTTCAGTATGCTCAAGGGTATACCCTACTTCTCGCCTGCTAAGTATCCACATATCTGAAGCACACGACTCTTTTTTTCAAGCTAAAGTTGCTCGGGGTTATGACATGGTATGCACCATATACGCTTTATCTCTTTGTGCAACTATTAAGTGCGTTTTGAGGCAGAGCTCTAACTGTGATACCGCTCCTGTCATTGTTTTACATGAATATCTTTAAACTTCACCTATGATCATACTGAATCTTCCTTCTTTCTGCTCTCATGAACATATTTATGCAGTACGAGTGCCTTGTGGAAGGGTGTGGATTGAAGTTCAAGAACTACAAAGCCCGGCATCAACACTTAGTTGACAAACACAAGTTCCCAACAACGTTTGAGTTCTTCAAGAAGACTCAACTCTCAAAGAAGCGAAGAGAGAAACTTCAGAGGCAACATTTATCAAAGCTGAAACATAAAGAAGACAAGGGAGAAGCTTCTTCAGATGCTATGGAAGTGGAAGACAAAGCCAGCGTTGACGGTCTTGTCTCGGCACTGTCCACACTCACCACATCGGATACAACTCCGTCGAATGTCAGCTTTGGTCGACGCCATGGTCGTGGGCTGACCTTTGTTCCACGGTCTGTTCATAGGGAGAAACGAACAGAATCTTAATTGATTAAGCATTTTAATTGATTTGGTGGATTTTAAATCTGTTTAGATTTGAATAGATTTTAGTGAAATTGAAGGATGTTTAGATGTTTCTGATTGTATTCAGTTGTTGCTCAAATTTCACAATGATAAGATTTCCCATGAATCACGATTAATATATGAAGTATAGAGTTTTGATCCAAAAAAAAAATTGAAGTACAGTATAGAGTTAAAATATGTATATAACTTTACATAAAAAAAAAAAGAGAAATACATTAAAACCAAAAATTGTTGGAAAAAAAAAAAAAAAAAAAAAAACCTCACATAATGTGACTTTATTGGGACTGCGTCCCGTTGTTCAGTTTCGTAGCTAAACGTTGCAGCGTTCGAGTGACGTTAGACGGCAAGCTTTCTGCTGGACCAAGCTTTGCTGCCTCAGGACACTGCCATGATTTATAACCTTGTCGGGGGAAAAGAAGCTCCAAAAATTGAAAGACACAATTATAAGAAAACCCAACAGCTTCTCTTCTCATTCAGGGATTCTGCAATCTAGGGTTCGTCTGTCTTGGTAAGATTTTTGCTTTACTCCCAAACTTAGCTTTCAATTATAATATTTTTACCTTCCTTTCACAGTCTGCTTGTTTGAACTCTGTTTTTCTTTTGTTTTTTAGATCTCAATGCTGTGCTTTGAACTGTAGTGTCGTTCACTTAGTTTACCTCTGAAATTTTCGGTATCATGAAATGTGTTTAAAGATTCATACTTTTGGAGAACTTTTGATTTAAGAAATCGAAATGTTAGAATCAGTCAGTCACTCGTGGAACTTGTTATTATTATATAAAAAATTCTTTAGGATTGGTTGGTGAAGTGTTCTTTCTTTTGTATGGTAGGTGTCTCTGTTAGACCAAATTTTTTGGAGATGGAGAGCATGCGCAGCTTTTGGCAGCTAGGAGATGAGCTCCGAGGACAATCTAAATCCTCAGAGGATCAGAAGTGGTTCATGGCTGCATCTAAACTAGCTGACCAGACTAGATTGAAGGGAGATCGTTCCAACAATCTTGATCTATCAAAGGGTCCAGTTGAAATAAGGCCGAGGGAGAAATTTGGGTTTCAAGAGGAGAACAAGTTTGAGACTTTTAACTTCAACATGATGAACTCAGAGCTCAAGTTCAATGCTGGCTATGATTTTAATGTTTTTGGTCAGAAACATCTGAGTGGAGGCAAATTTAGCTACAATCAGTTCTCTAACAGAGAAGCCAACAATGGTGGTAACAACTTTAGCAGCACTCACAACAGTGACTCCATGAATGCTGCTGCAGACAAAAGGTTCAAGACCTTACCTGCCTCTGAGTGTCTCCCAAAGAGTGAAGTGCTTGGCGGTTATATCTTTGTCTGTAACAACGACACAATGCTGGAAGATCTGAAGCGGCAGCTCTTTGGTATTCATCTTATCTTGGAGTTTCCCCACTTAAGGGTTACATCTCCATTTTCATATGTATTTATGTCTTCTCCTGTCACTTTTGTGTCTCTCAGGTCTGCCACCCAGGTACAGGGACTCTGTTAGGAAGATAACACCAGGCCTGCCTCTGTTTCTCTACAACTACACAACTCATCAGTTGCATGGAATTTTTGAGGTTTGTTCTGTAGCACTTTGATTTGTCAATGGTGCTCATGTCTTGCTTGATGACTCAAAGTCTCCAAAAATTGTTGCTTCTCTTTGTTTTGCACAGGCAACAACCTTTGGAGGTTCAAACATTGACCCAACTGCTTGGGAGGACAAGAAATGCAAAGGAGAGTCCAGATTTCCTGCACAGGTTTCATTTTTCTTCTCCAATGTGGGTTCTGTCTTTCATCTTATTTCAATGGTTGATTCACACAACCCCAATGTGTGATTAACTACATAATAGGTGAGAATTCGTGTGAGAGAACTGTACAAAGCTTTGGAAGAGGATGCTTTCAGGCCGGTTTTGCACCACTATGATGGTCCTAAGTTTCGACTCGAGCTCACCATTCCTGAGGTGTGCAAATCGTTTCATACATGGTATCCTTGTTCCACTAATTTTAGCGTTAACTAATCAAATGTTGATGACACAGACACTGGCCTTGCTGGATCTCTGTGAACAAGCAGGTTCTCCCTAAGCTCAAAGCCCTTGCAGATCCCATACATCGGGGACTTAGCTGCTTATTCCAAGCTTGAAGTGTGTATTTGTATGTGTGCTTTCTACATAAAAGTAGAAATTAAGAATGTCTCACTGGAAAATAAAGCATGATTGTGAAAGATTCATGTGTCACAAATCTGTTCATATATAATCATGAAACTAGAATGATTGTCACATCTCCTTGCAACAATATATTGTTTATGACCTTCTCTCAAACAGTGTTCAGTCAGAGAACTGCAACATACAACAAAGCGATAATGAGTAGCAGCCATGTGGGTTTCACAGAGGCTGTTCCACCAAGATGATGTACAATCACTTCATCAATCACAGGACCACAAAGAACATCCTCTTTTGTCATTGTAACTGAGTAGCTGGTAAAACTTATCTGTACTGCATCTTTGTCTGCTTCAAACACTAATCCAAACTTCTCCCCAGAGCCAGTCCCATTGCTATCCAGTGTGAAGTTTTGAGCTGCAGATCCAGCTTGAACACCCACCACGAAATGTCCTATGCACGCATCATTAGCATCTCCTAAAGTAAATGTGAGATTGTATCTCGAACCTTCACTTGTGTCTTTTGTTGCTGTCTGTATGCCCGATGGAGCTGTGTGAGACATAATTTCTATAGCAGCTTTGCCTTCTGGGACATGGAAGTGCTTCGAGTCTATGTATCTGACTGTTCCTATAACAGACCACTGTCTTAATGCTGATTGGATGAGGCTTGGAACCGCGTCTATCAGAACTCCATCGGTTGAGTTGGGCAAGAATCCCGGTCCAGATTCAAATCCACCATTGATTAAGAGATTACCTACACCAACAAAATCAGAATATGAGTCTATGCAGCTTGATTTACAAGATATTAATTTGTAAACCATATCTGCTTTCATCACGTTCGGCGTTGAGCTATGAGTTCGGTATTAGCATTCTCGGATTTGATGACTTAACAAAGCAGAAAACACAAAATGGACAAGGAGAACTTACCACTGTCTTGGACCAATGTTACACCAACAGTCTTGATAAGCAATGTGTCAATGATAGGCCAACATGTGGAGTTTGTATCAGAATCAGAATCTATTGCCTGACTTTCAAGAACTAAGTTAATAGGCTCATCATTCCCCCAACTACCCAAGTTATGACTGTAGCTCTGCCATGAAACCTTACTGTAGTTTTGTTGGTACGAAAAAACCGCGTTACTGTCTGGCCCCGAGACACTGAGACCAGCAGAGGTTGAACAGTTCTGACCTGGGCGGATGAGAGCAAATGTGAGGATGTAGTTCACATCACCACCTTTAGCAATGAATGTTTGATTGATCTTGCCATCTTCACCAAGCTGAATAGCATGTCCGTTATCAGGCAGTTCAAGTGAAGTAACATATTGCACTGTCCCTTGTAATGTCCAGCCAGGGAGTGTAGTGTTCTGATCCAGCAACACAAACGGGCCACTGCTTGCGTTTGAGTTTTTTGGTGGAGATTCGAAGTCTGGATTTTCCAGTAAATCTGCACAAACTTTACTTAATCAATACGAAGAAAGATATGAATGTAGCAACCGGATCCGGTAGAAATGGACATTAGTGTAATGGCCAAAAATGTTGAGTACTGAAGATGAATGGACAAAATATAAAATAAGGCATACTGCTTAAGCAGTTGAGATTCCAATGTACCTGAAGAGGCAACCCAAGAAACGAGAAGCAGCAGAAAAATTCTCTGAAACCATATCATCGCTATTTTCTTCGGACTAGAGAAAACTTAGAATGTCAACGCTTCTTGGATCCAGTGATCATGTCTTATGCATATTATTTGTAGAGAAGAATCATGCTGTAACATGTTTGCATACTGTCAGATTGTATGATACAGTTGACCATATCTTTATTTTTTTATCTCGTATATATTTTTTTTAATCTCGTATTATGATTATAAACTTGCAATCAATTTTCCTCTAAACGAATGGGAAGCTGACAATCTGACATGGCACGCCATTAATTACGTATTAATTTGTTTTTGGCATATTTTATATATATATATATATATATATATTTGATGATATGATATAAATCAATGTTGTTGTTAAACCAAATCCGGGACAGTGCAGAGTAGTATTTGTCGACTTTTAGATATGGCTTTGATTCAGAAACGTCAAGCTCTCAACTCTAGGAGGCCGAATTGGTCGGAACTTCCTGAGGATGTGATCAGATTGGTTCTGGGACGTCTGAGGTGCTCCGACTTTCATCGAGCTAGGGCGGTTTGTTCTGCTTGGCATAACGTTTGGGGAGAATGTGTTCCCTTACCTAATCAGGTTCCGTGGCTAGTTCTGTTCCCTGATCCGGAACAATGCAGACGCACTTGTATAATGTACAATCCTCAGGAAGAAGAAAATGTCTACACAATTCAAGATCTTGGTGTGGACCCTTGCCTTGCGAGTTGCGGCACCTGGCTTCTCATGTCGGACCCTCGGTTAAATCTATACCTTGTGAATGTGCTAACTTTGGAGAGGATTAACCTAGTAGCTATCGAGTCCCAACGGGACCAGCTCTTTTCAAAACCACGCAGATATTACGAAAGCTTCCCTGGGCGTTATTGTGCAAGCAAAGCCGAGTTGATCAGGTTGTTACCTGGTAAGGCAGTGGTGTGGGTAGACGAGAAAACTAAAAACTACGAGGTTGCTTGGAGTTGGGGTGAATACGGGTATACTGCCTTTTGCAAAAGAGGAGATTGTAAATGGCGCCGGATTCCTCCTTTGGTGGGTTGTAGTGATATGGTCCTCAAAGACCATAAGCTTTACATTTATTATGAGGATGGTACCATCGGAATCTCGGATTTGAAGTGTCCAACAAAAGCTGCTCATACTCGGCTATATCCTCCTCCCTTTCGCTTCTACTTGAGAAATTTAGACACTCCTCCAAGTTGGGGATTATATATGCCAGATTTTCTTGATTGGAAGACCCACATAGTAATCACCATCTCTGGAGACTTTTTGATGGTCGCCTGCGTTCTTAAACGTCCTGACCTTTCTTGGCATTTTCGCGTCTACAAATGCAACTCGGCCAACAACGACTGGGAACAAACTGTTTCACTCGGCGACCAGGCCGTGATTTTGGATCTAGGTATCACCGTGCCAGCTTCCTCGGATATCCATGGAATTACCAGAAACTCCATCTATTTTAGCGGCCTTCCCTCTAGCCAAAAGGATGTCTTCGTCTTCAATCTCTCCTCCCAGAGGATTCAACGCCTTTCAGCTTCTTCTATTTCCTCCAGACCATTCTTTGATGCTCGCTGGCTTTTCCCCACTTAGTTCAAGTTCACTATGATACACTTTCTCAACACTTGCGTTTTTGTTCAATTATATATGTCTCTCTTTTCTTTTTTTTTTCTTTCTTTTCTATGCCAATGTTATTTTCCTTTTGCTATAAAACCAAGACTTAATAACCATTAAAGCAAAGACTACAAACAAAGCTAATTATAAGTAATAATATTTCATCATACACATGATTACAGATACACTAGTTCCCTTTCAAAGCAGACTATCTCAACAATATCTTCTTCTAAAAATGCTCAAACAGATGAAGAGACTTGCATCGTCAAGAAACTCACCAACTCCCTGGTCCCTCGTTCCCAGCTGCTGGCCTCCGGTTTAAGTACCGAATAACTGCATCTTCGACCCTGCAAACATTTTACCAATATTATGATTCAGAAACGTATCATCAATCAATCAATCAGTGGACTTGTTTGAACTCCCCACTTTTACAACTCTAATACAAATAATCTGAATGAATAAAGGTCAGAGTAGCGGAGAGTAGATGATGAGCTTACCAAGGTTGGTTGAAGAAGTCCGATCGACGTTCTCTCTCAGCATTTCGACTGGCTTCTCCCGCTACGACCTTCAGATCCTTGCTCTGAGATTCGATCAGGGCGTTTATGAATTCAACTGGCGACTGGCTGAACCCCAAGAAAAATGCCCGCCTCCTCCTATGCTCATGAATTTTCCTTATGGCTGCACATATTGCTTCATCACAAGCCTCAATCTCTTTGTTCTTCTCTGCGTTGGCTAACAAATTGTTCAGATCCCTCTGGATTGGGAAGGGTACATCCACTAGGACATCGTAGCATGCTGATATGGCCGGATTATTTCCTGAGAGCTTGATTTTGTGTTCTAAGTGAATCGGCGGTGGAGGCGACAAGTGATGAGATATCTTCTGAGAGACCATAGTGAATTTCAACTTTTCTTCACCAAAAACTTTCTGAAGTGCAGCGTCACAATTGAAGAAAGAGGGGTCATTTGGGTTCTGCAATTTCCTCGCCTTAACATAATGCCAAATTGCAGCGATGATTCTTGGGCGGGTTTCAACCTCAATCCCGAGAACATCCATCAATGCAGTAGAAAGCTTGAACTTTTCAGGGACGTAGTTCATCTCCAGCCGTATACTAGCTGCAAACTCCTGATTCCCTTTCCTCTTTATCTCAAACCCTTCCTGAGGAGCAGGTGATCGAGCATTCTCCCATATGATCAATGGGTTCTCAGGATATAGCCTCTGATCCAGGGAAACTGTAACCCTTTTGAAGAAAGACGAGAATTTGGGATGCAATGGGTTTGATTTCTGAACAAATCCTGGCTGGTCGGGATCTACCCCATCTTCGAGGATCCTACCAATAATTTTAAGAGTCCATGTTGGCGGGTCAGCGTTAGGATTTCCAGGGATTGTGTTGTTTTGGTTAGCAAATGAGTTGAAAACGTAGATCCTAAGAGTCTTCTGTATGCAGGGAGGATTTTTAAGGGCTTCCTGGATATCAACTTTCTTCCTCGTTAGTGCAGCATCGACCCGAGACTCAAACTCCAGAAGTTGAGTGTATAGGGCAGACTCGGGCAAGATTGCTGCAACCCGCTCCTGCAATGACTTTTCTGGAAGCTTCTGCTTCTTCTTCCGAGCAGCAGGAGTTAACTCCATTGTTCTCATGGGGGAGATAGTGTTGTTACCCGCAGAAGCACCAGGAGGTCGCATCGGGGGTTTCTGCTGGAACCTCTTCATATTTAAACTCCCAGGAGTCGTCAAAGAAGGAGAAGATGGACCCAACCCACCAATACCGGGAGAACCTTGTGCTTGGTTCATGGTCATGCCTTGAGCTTGTAGCTGAGCTTGCAGTTGTGCTTGAACTTTAGACTGTGCTTGAGCTTGAGCTAGGGCCTGAGCTTGTGAGAACTGAAACTGAGCTTGAAAGTTAGCTGTCATGTGAGACGGAGCAAAGCCTTGGTTTCCAGGAACCGATGCAGAGGCCATCCCAGGATTCCCAAAAGGTGATGGCGCAGAGCCAGAGCCTTGAGGCTTCTGTGGATTGTTGTTGTTACCAGACATCTCTATATAAACCTCCAAGCCTGAAAAATTCAGAAGAAATAACACTCTTGAGAACTAACCTTCCATTACACCTAAGGTATCACAAGCTAATCAAAAATCTAAGAAATACGAGGAAAATTATTGCAGAACTTCAGATGAATGCAGACGCAATAGATCGGGTTACCTAGAAAAATTCGAAGCCTCAAAACCCTAATTTTCTAAGATTGCTGCACAGTTCAATTGATGAGGAGTAATCTCCAGACTTAAACTACGTCAAAGACAAAAATACTGCAAATGCGAATGGAAACGAAGAACTCGATTTGAGATTTCTGAAAGAAAAAAAAAACTACAAAATGACCATGAAAAGATCTAGAATTCATTAAATTCCAAGAGATAGAAGACGCAGAGAACCCCAGAACTTATATACCCAAAAATATCGAGAGGGGACGAGAGCTCCTTACAAAAAAGACGAAGATTCGTAGCTCCGTCAGCTTCTTTCTGGAATTCACCGGTGTTCCGCTGCTCCTCAGTTGTCGAGAGACGAGAAAGAGAAAACAAATGCCCACCGGAGCTATCTATTTTTATTGACCGGGACCCGACCCGTTTTTTTCAAAGCCCACACTGAGTATGCGAAACTACATCATTGGCCCATTAACGTCGTTGTTTTTAAAAAATATCAACCATCCATATACATACTTTTGTTATACGAATTTTGTTTTCCCTGTCGACTATTAAATTTGTAGTTCAGAAATTTCATCAATTTAATTAAAAATATGCTTCTTAATATCGAATTTATTAGACGGTAGAGTAGAAATAACTTTCTTTATATTATTTACAACATAACTTGCTTTATTATGCCCATTTTGTTTTGTGGAAAACAATTGATGAAATTATGGGCTTAATTAATATGGATGGCTTGGGGAACAAATTACATAAATTAATAATAGTATGGTAAAATCAAGCTAGGCGTTTGAAAAAGGTAGCAACTTGGTTGTAAACAACGTCTTTGGCAGTAACACCCATGATGAAATCTGCATGAGCATAGTCTTTCACAAACTGCACGGACATCTTGTTAACGTCGTGAAACTTGAACTGGTCAAGGAGAAACTCGACGTCTTTCACATCGGCCAGGCGGTCTAAACCTCCGTAGCTGAAGAAAAGCGGGAGATCGTGTGGGATCGCCGATATGTTGTAACCGGGCGGCACCGCTTGACCGTAATGTTGTATGTTGCGGTCACTGCTTCCATAGTTGTATTTTCTCAACTCCTTGTCTCTTACCGCTACAGAAATTTTTTTGAACGATATAAAGGAAAAAATAACATAAGGTTTTGTAAATATATAAAAAAAAAACTACGCGAATTTTGTTTCACACTTACTTTGAGAAAGGTGGATCATGTTCTTTGTGGAAGTAGACTGAGGTTCGTTCGCAAGGAACAGATCAATGGTTGATGCGTTAAGGCAACAATTCTTTCCTATATATTTCGTTTTTGTAAAATTACGTAATTAATATATATAATAATTTTATAAATAGTAGATTAGTGTTTTATATGATATTTACAGATTTAGCAACAAAAAAAAAAAGATTAGTGAACATTTTAGTTGTGGCATTACCGGTGATCACAGAGATTAAATCGTAACAGTCGACCCCAGCTTTAAGGCATATAGCCTTTATAAAACCTCCAACTATTCCACTGCCAAATGTGTTTAATTATTTTGCGTAATTGAATAAAGCCAATAACAAGCATTTTAAAAAAAAAGATGGTGAAGATTTTTTACCTTTTGGGGTTAAACTCTGCCAATCCAATAATCGAGGTGGCCTATTTTAGAAAAAACAATAAGCAAGAATATTGATAAATATAGGCACAAATTTTACGTAAGAAAACAGAAATAATTAAATAGGGACCTCGGCGATGAAAGATCTGGCGGCGATGTCGCCTATGACGGTGGTCATGTGGCTGAGATAAGCAATGGGACTTAACATTGCCGCGGATCTCACTTTATCAACCAAACCCTTCTCCGAGAACGATGCAAATCCTATTAACGTCCCCTGATATGTTCCATTTTTTCATTCCTTTTATTTCTGATTACTAAAGGAGAAAACAAAAAAGAAGAAACAGAGAAAAATATGTATGTTGACAACGTTTGGACTCACCAAAGAGTGTCCGAGGTAATGAATCTTTTGGCCTGTTAGGCTGTGGATATGGTCAAACATAGCAGGCAGATCGTAACTCACGAGCTCGTCCCACGTCCAGTTCCAGAAAGCCTACGTACGTCCAAAGTCCCACCGATGTTAGAAATTTCGGTATTAATTATATTTAGTAAATCTACGGGTCTTAAAAAAAAGTGGTTTCAGTGAACCAGACCCGTTCAGAAGGGTCAAGGTTCTTGTGTCTTCTGCTGAACCTAGTCCCTCTTGTGTTCCCCATCCACACATCGAATCCTTGGTCCGCCAAAATCAACGGCAGGTTTTGATCCGCCGGATTCAACAGCCATGACATCCCATCCTGCACATTTGTTAACTCGTAATTTTACTATCTAACCTTTTACAGCTCTCAATGTTTTATGACTGTGTAAATCATAAGACTATTTTGTCAAAATCGTCAGAGTACGATTCTGCATACGTACGACTGTCGTCCCTGTCCACATGAAACTTAAAATGTAACGTATACCATAAAAGTAATTTCATTCTTTCAGACTGATAAAAAGAGTACTGGTTCCTGATGATCTCATCAGGTGTGATATGGACTTCATCAATAGTTTTTTTATAGAATTCGATTAGTACTACTAGCTAGCGTAGAATCGACACGGTTATCTATTATAATATCACTTACGTACGGTACAACCATATTCTCCCATACCAGAAAAGCTGTTTTTATATCAATTGGGTTTATTTTAGTTAACTTTCTAGTAACGCTCAATTTTATCACTTTATTTGTTGGACACACATGTTAAACACTCATGCTGTCTCTTCAAATTATTTACTGTTAATTAATTTTTACTCACCACTAAAGATACGCAAATATTTATTTAAATTTTACTTCTATGTTTAAAGTTAAAACTCGCTTATAGAGACTAGCTAGGCAGACTACAATACAATTAAACCAAATAAGTATGCATACTTGATGAGGCATGCACTACAAGTATACACGTTTGGTTTGTATACATGTGTGTCAGTGTGTGTTTATCATAGTGAAATAAACGTATGCGCAAATAACTCCATTTGTACAAACTTGTGTAAAACGAGTATAAAGTTTGCACCTAATAATGTTTTTTCTCACTTTCCCTTGACGTAAACTGACGTTTCTTTCCACTTTTTTTGTTTCTCTCTTATATAGTGGAAAACAGCTGATAAAAGTTTGATGATACCACAATAATTAAGTGAAGATAAAAAAAGAGTAGCATGCGTGTATGTATACATGTGTAAAATTGACGGCTAATGCGATGCAATCAACAGGGGTAAAATAAAGAAGAGTAAAACTTACGACGAGAATCCCATGTTGTATTAGGACAGGTTGTCTCTTTCCCCCATTTCCGGTGCGGGCGGCGCCGGTTCGTCCTTCCGGTATCCTTTGCATATTCAGTATGTACCCATCTTGAGTCACCACCTTCGGTATTTATCGATGAATGAGCATAATTACTTGTACCTTATTATATTAAAAATAAAATAAAAAAGAATGTCGTACATCATGTTCTTCGCACTTGTAACCATATATATGGACAGAAGAAGCGCATATGCCACCAGCAGCAGTCCTCGGCCGTGGCTTTCCGGAAAGCATGCCGAAGGTTTGACGAGCTTCCAGGGGCTTAAGGGAAAGAGCGAAGAAGATGAAGACACATAAGGCCATACATATTGAAACGGACGGAAGCATAACCGAACCGGCCATTGAAATTTAAAGTGAAAGGTTTTTTTTTTTATATAGAGAAGGGATGACGGATATGATAATAGAAATGGAGTTGGCTATTTATATATAAATAAAAAATCACACCCAAACAAATTTGTGGTTTTGACAAACAAAAACAGATTATGGTGTAAACATGATAAATCAAGATTTGAATCATGCACACACAAAAAAATAAAAATAAAACACTCCCTCATATAGCTTTAAAAAATTGTTTCATTTTAAGTAATGTTTTCAATTTTCTATGTAAACATTAAATGTATTTAATAATATTTGACCAATTAAATTATATACTATATTTTTCAGTTGAATTCATTGTATTTAGTGGTATTTTTGTGGGGAAAATAGTATATGTTTCCATAATCTATACTCCCTTTGTTTCATTATAAGTGATGTTTAAGGTTTTGACAAACTAAATAATAAAACATATAAATTACCCATTTTCCATTAAAACATCATTAATTAATATGAATTCAACCAATAAGAAAATATGATGTAAAATATAACTGGTCAAAACATATTAAATACATTAATTTTTTGCATAGAAAATTGAAAACATCACTTATATTGAAACAAAAAAAATTGGCTAAAACATCAATTATAATGAAACTTCCTCAATTATAATGAAACAGAGGAAGTATATAACAACTTTAAACATCACTTATAAGAGAACTCCTAGAGTAATATATATGAATAGTTTCTAGAAGTAGTGAATTATGCACTGATAGTTAAACGACGACATTAATTATAGTTTCTACAAGTGGGGAATCAGGGGATCATGCCATGATTTATATGATTTTTTCTAGATAGAGCAAAGAATTTTATGATAACCATTTAGAATAATTAATACGTGGAAGTATGGAAGAGACGAATGGAAAATAATACCAAAAATAAATAATATTTTAAAATAGCTCAAGATAACAAAAAGTACTTCTATATATATTCTAAATGTATATTAATAAACGTACTAAATGAAATACATCCCATTGGTTTATAAAATGACTATAGTTATCAAATGAAAACAAGATCTATATATCATGATTGTATTGATTACAACCTAACATACTGTATATAAAAAGCAAAATTTTAATGAAGAAGAGAATTTTATAGCCTACTACACCACACTTGTTAACTTAAGGAGCGGATAATAATAAGAAAAGCAATCTAAGCAAAATTAAAGAAAAATAATGAGAGGAAAATGTTAAAATCTCTGATTAATAAATAGCTCACAAAGGAAGAAGAAATATAAATCAGATAAATGTTGTAATAAATTCGTTTTGGTCTAACGTGAGTGTAAAAAAAGGAAAAGATAGGAGACGAAAGAGGAAACTGTTAAAGTCGATGGGAGATGCTGTAGGGACGTATAAATGGACTGTGACATCAGTTTCCGTTACTTGTTTTCTTCTTCAACTCAATAAATACATTTAATTTCCTCTCATTTCAAAATAAAACATTTCTCTACATCGGTCTGCTTTTCGTTTCACACTCTGCAGTGCACTGCACTCAGTGTAGTACGTATGGTATTGTAAAAATATACAAACAAAAACTAATTCCTCGAGACATGATACGTTCAGATAATATTAATAATTTGAGGGTACACGTAACACAATGTTCCAAATCATTTGTACTCCAAGTCTTGCTTTTATGTTTTGTGTTCACACTTCAACACTATCATCATCCCTATGCTATCCCCTACGAAGGCACTTTATATGATATTTCAAAATAATCGATCGACCATAACTCTCGTCTCGTGTGGTGGTGCACACACAGTACTGCCCTCGATTCTATTGTGTGCAAAACATTAAGATAGAATATTTGGTCATCTAAGCTTCTGTTTAGGTACTTTAAACATTAAGATAGAATATTTGATTCTCTGGTGACGACAAAAAAAAAAAAAAAATTGATTATCTGGATCATCTATGGACTAATCAATTAGACAATTCTATTACAGTTTTTAAAAAACGAACCCTACTACTTGTAGTCTTGTACAATGGGCTATAACGAGCGGCCCAATGTTGCCGCTTCAAATTCGTCTTTGTTTGGTAAAATCGGAATCGGCTAATCGGGTCGACCCGACCAGTTGTAGTGTTGCTCCTCTTCTTCATCTAGTAAATTATGCAGCAATAGCACATGTACTAACATGTACACTGTGTAATAATAATAGTTAAAGAGAGAGGATCTTTCATTAAAAAAAATTCAATACTTCGCTGGTGAGAAGCCAGTTTATAGGTAGGTGAACAGGATTATTTTAGCCAATTAAATAAGACAAATATTGAGGCCTATGTATTGCAAATTCAACGTGCACACCTACTTAAGTACCAAATACTCTATGCTATATAAGTTAGTGTGACACTCACTCGTTACAATTTCTGAAGTCTTTTAAACTCTCTAAAAAAAATAAAAATGGCGGCGTTTTTGCAGACGAACATCCGAATGAGTTCGATCAAGATCGTCCCGGGAAAATACAGTGCTCTCACCGACCATTATCGCACGCCGTGTCGTGTAAGGTGTGCCGCCTCTTCACCGGGGAAAAAACGTTTTAACATCGCTCTACTTCCCGGCGACGGAATTGGTCCAGAAGTTATCGCTGTTGCTAAGACTGTGCTTCAGAAAGCTGGATCTCTTGAAGGTTCTTTCTCTTTCTCCATGTCATCGTCTTAAATTTTCAGAATCTTGGGATCTTGCTGCTGCTTTTTACCAAGTTCCTGGGCAACGAGTGTGTTTTGCTTAGCCAGTATATATTCGTGTCTCTGCTTTTGTATCACAGGACTGGAGTTTGATTTCCAGGAGATGCCTGTCGGAGGAGCAGCCTTGGATTTGGTCGGAGTTCCCATGCCGGAGGAAACTTTCACCGCTGCTAAACAGTCTGATGCTATACTTCTTGGAGCTATTGGAGGGTATGTGTCTTGTTTCTTCAAAACATCTCCTTCCAAGTTTATTCTCTTGTTGATTAGTTTTGGATGATTCTCAATTGTTCAGGTACAAATGGGACAAGAATGAGAAACATCTGAGACCTGAGATGGCTCTGTTTTATCTTCGAAGAGATCTCAAAGTCTTTGCAAATCTAAGACCTGCTACCGTTTTGCCAGAGGTATATCTTCGGTTTTGTCTTCTTAGTATTTGGATCTTGTTTGCTAGCAGTTGTACATAAACTTAAGAATTTATCCTTTTTGTCATTTCAGTTAGTTGATGCATCCACGTTGAAGAAAGAAGTAGCAGAAGGTGTTGATATGATGATTGTAAGAGAGCTCACTGGAGGTATTTACTTTGGAGAGCCAAGAGGCATTAAGATCAATGAAAATGGCGAAGAAGTTGGCATTAGTACAGAGATCTACGCTGCTCACGAGGCATATAAACTCTCCACAATCTGATCTATGACAATATAGGCTACTTGTGTATGTATATTAATCCCATTGCTTATGTTACTTCAGATTGACAGAATTGCTCGTGTTGCATTCGAGACTGCTAGGAAAAGGCGTGGCAAGTTGTGTTCTGTGGACAAAGCCAATGTGTTGGATGTACGTTTGATCAGTTCTTGAATTGTTTTTCCACTTTTGTGTGTTTATCGTAATACAAATTTGATTTGATTTTTTTTCATATAGGCATCAATATTATGGAGGAAAAGAGTAACAGCGTTAGCCTCTGAATATCCAGATGTTGAACTATCACATATGTATGTTGATAATGCTGCAATGCAGCTTATCCGTGACCCCAAACAGGTTCTCGTCGAGCATATATCAAAACTTAGCCATTGATTAAGCTAACATAAAAGTAGAATCATTTTAGTTCTCACAGCGTTTTTGATCGCTTACAAAACATTGCAGTTTGACACAATCGTCACCAATAACATTTTTGGTGATATATTATCTGATGAAGCTTCAATGATCACTGGAAGCATTGGAATGCTTCCATCTGCGAGTCTCAGTGAATCGGTAAACAGAATTATTCAAAATCTTTCAAGGCTCGTTAGTGTTGTGTTGTTACCATATCCGGAATGTTAAACTTGTGATGTAATCAGGGACCTGGACTCTTTGAACCTATACACGGTTCTGCACCAGATATAGCTGGACAAGACAAGGCAAACCCATTGGCCACTATTCTCAGCGCCGCTATGCTTCTGAAATATGGACTTGGAGAAGAAAAAGCTGCAAAGAGGATTGAAGACGCTGTCGCGGATGCTCTGAGCAAAGGGTTCAGAACTGGAGACATCTACTCCCCCGGAAATGTATGTGTATGATTGATTACTATCATTTGTTTTTATAAGTTAGTAACATTATACTTGAAGGTCTTGCGTTTTGACTATGCAGAAACTGGTGGGATGCAAAGAAATGGGAGAAGAGGTGCTCAAATCAGTGGACTCCAAAGTTCCAGCTACTGTTTAAGTGTATTGATGATTTGCAAATGTGTGTCGTATTGATTTTACGGTTACTTATATGCTAATCCATGTATTAGAAACCGTATTATTCTAGCATTTCAACAAATTAATGAATAAGTGGGATTGATTCTGCAATTCAAAGACAAGATTCTCCAAAAGCTTTTAACATCCTGCCTCACTTACTTAAGTACCTTGATCTTAAAAATTGAGAAGTTTTCTCCAACTACAAACCCAATATCTTCAATCAATATTTACATAACGTAATTAAATTCAAGAGAAGAAAAGAAGCGATGATTTTTACTAGCAAGAGTCTTTACATTTTTATACTGTAAAACCAAACTTGTCAAACTTTACATTTAAAAACCGAAAAAAAACTATCAATCATTCGATTAGCCTTGAGTTTCACGAGGAAGTATCAGATTTGCGTTCAGCATCTGCGGCAGACTGCATTTGAGCTGCGTATTGCAAGTTCCACAGAACGTCTTCAAATGAAGGTCTTGCCGACGGTTCAAGCAAAACGCATTTGTTGGCAATTGAGATCGCAATCGATAAAGACTCCTGCGAGCTTGTTGTTAGGACAGTTGGACTTACTATTTTCTGCCGACCGTCTTGGCTCCCAAATGATGTCTGCGTACACAAAAAGTTGCAGCATTAACTAACTTTCTTCTTAAGCAAATAACAATGATAAAGATTGATTTTCCTCTTTGTTACCATTTCGTTGAGAAGAAAGGCCTCTCCTTTTGTAGTGAGCACTGGTCCTATCAAAGATTCCAGGAGTATGAATCCGAAGTTGTACACATCGTCCTCTCTTTTAGCCATTTTTCTGCATAACCCCCAAGTTTGAATTAGTTTCTCCTAGATGCCATGGAGTTTTGAAATAGAGGGAAAAAGATACATACTTTGACTTGTGGTTTTCTGACTTTGTCTGCAAAATGTAGAAGCAGAATCCTGACTTAGTATCAAAGAAGAGAATACAAAATGATTATAAACAGCGTGAATGAGAGTAACAAACCTCGAGCTTTTCGTTCTCTTCGATGATGGCAGAGACTCCATAGTCACTGAGTTTTGCAATGTTGTGTTCATCAAGCAAAATGTTGTTTGTCTTCAGATGATTATTGAAGGAACCAGGCATTACACCAGTGTGAAGAAAATGAACTGCCTTTGCTATCTCAATGAGAATTGCTAGCCGATTTGGCCATGTCAGGATCTTCTCCGAGAAAGATTCTACATATAAAAAAGATTCTAACAACATTGAGTATTTAACTACAGAGAGACGGAATTTAACATTGAGTTTATGTCATCTGACCTGATAGATGTGTGCGATAACTCCCGCTGGGCATATACTCGTATACAAGGTAGAGTATGGTCGCTGCAGGATCATGTTCACCGCTGGTTTGAGTGCAATGACCCAAAAAGCTAAGGAGATGAGGATGGTTAAGCTTAGACATCCAATCTAAGTGACCTCTGATACTCTGGCTGGAGAATTTCCTTGATAAAACAAGACATCTGATAGCTATGGAACCTCCATTTTCCAGTGTTCCTCTGTAAAGCTGCAAAGAATCAAAACAAGCAAAGTTTACATACGACTGATGGGAGATCACAAGAATTAATCTTACGAGAGACAAACCATACCTTTCCAAGGGAGCCTTCACCTAAGAAACGTGATGAATCAAAATCGTCTGTGGCTTCCTTTAACTCTTCAAAAGAAAATGACCGGCATGAGGGAACACCTTGTGCACCTAGTTTTGCTGTTTGAGAGATTAACCCTGCAAGAAAAAAAATGTATAAGGATATTAACTTCCAGAAAGAATATTGCTAGCAGACAGAAGGCTACAGTGTGAGTCAAAATTACTCACTTGCACTAGCAAGAACTTCAGAGGAGAGACTGGTGTGTGAATTATCCGTCACAACCTTGAGCCGAGTTTGCGGCACTGACTTTTCCCTTGAACAACAGCAAGAGCAGCGATTTGTGCATAACAGAAGGAGTCCTAATACAAAAAACACAAGAACAAGAACAGCTCCACCAATTACAGCAATCAAAATCCCAATCTTTCTTCCTTGGAACTGTTTTCCCTCAGTTTCAGCCTCTTCACATAAGAATTCTTGATGCTGATCAAGACTGCCAGTTATAAACAAGCAATTTCCACCGAGTTTAACAACTCGCTCACCAGAAGCTCCTGCCAAGCAACGGGGAGGGCTCCCTATTAATCTGTTATTGGACAAATCAACAAATCCGAGTTTGCCTCCACAGGTCAGGTTAAGCGGTAGCTTCCCACTGAGCTTGTTAGATGCCAAGTCCAAGTAACTAATGTTTGGCAAAGAGAATAGGAACCGAGATGGAGTTCCAGTTAAATGATTGAATGACAAGTCAAGATGCTGAAGCTGAGACAAACCGCCAAAACCTCTGGGAATTTCGCCAGAGAAGGAGTTCTTACTCAGTAGAACAGTAACTAATCTATTAGGCATGACAGGTAGTTCAGAATCCAAGTGGTTCTCTCTCAGATCCAGCATATGCAGATGAATTAACTTGCTGAGATCAGGCAACTTACCAGAAATCTCATTGTGTGATAGAGCAAGATTTGTTAGTCTTCCAATTCTGCAAATTGAAGAAGGAAATGGACCTTTGAACCGATTGTTCTTTAAACTAAGCAGAGTAAGATTGGTCAAGGAATCCAACGTGTCTGGAACACTGCCGTTGAAGTAATTTCCATCAAGCATCAGACTTTGAAGCATAACCAATCTAGATAAGTCAGGAGGGACAGAACCAAACAGATAATTTGAACTCAAATCCAAGTACTCTAGAGAATTCAACCGATGGATCTTTCCTGGGAGCTCACCATAGATACCTAGAGACACTAAGCTAAGAACCCTCAAGCTTGCAAGCCTTGTCAAAGTGGTAACAAAAGAGTCAATAATGAATGCTTGAGACAGAGTGTGATTTGGAAGTGAAGACCCATCAAACATACCAACTGGTTTAGAAAGCTTGTCCCCCATGACTTTAAGCTCCGTGATGGAATTACCTTGACAGGTGATGCTCATATGAGCAGTTGCAGGGATTACACATAAGTCTCCATAGTAAGTTCCCCAAGATTCCAGAGCTTTAGGGAATTCCAGATGCTTCCTGAGCTGATACAGGACCTGGGTCTGAGAGTTCTGAAGTTGATGGGTGCTTTGAAAGAACATAACCCATGAAAGAAAGAGCAGAGGCAAGAACTTTGAATGCTCCATTCCAGGGAAAAACGAAGATGAAGTAGCAGAACTGAGACAGAACCCTAGAATCAGAAGCAGAGTAGGATTCTCAGAGGAAAATGAAAAAGACCCATCATCTAGGTGTTTTTACAGTCAATTCAAGTCACACCAAGCTCGTGATCCCAGACGCTCTCTGGAGCAAACTCCCAAGGAAATGAGTGTACAATCAAATCCCTGAAAAGAGAGAGGTCAGGAAACAAAAAATAGAAGAGTGTGAGGACAAATGCAGAAATCAGGGGTGGGAATGTCGGTATTCTTGTGTGTATTTGTCGGATTCAACACACAGACGAGAAAGAAACTGGGGAAGCTAGAGAAGAAGGTGATAAGAGCATTAATGACAAAAGGGTTAAACAGCATTAATGGCGGCTTTCTGTATTTACCTGATAGGACTTGAGAAAGTAAGAGAACTTCAAAGTATCTTTATTTCTTCTTCCTCTTCTTCTGCTTCTTCTTCTTCTTCCTTTTTCTATGAACGAAACAGTAAATTCAGTAATGTGGGACACCAGAAACAGTCATAAAGCAAAAAAATGTGCACTCAATTTGATGAAAGCTTGTTCCTTTTTATGAGCAATTGTCTCTTTTCTTCTATACTGTTTAATAATGACATTTGAATTTAAATTTGGTAAAGATAAAGTATGATTATTGTTTATTAATGTATGCAATTTGTGACCTTGGTTGACTCATAGAAGATGCCGTTAACACATGTCTCTTCTTCTTCTTCTTCTTCTTCTTCCTCTTCATCTTCATCTTAGAAGATTTAAAACATAGATTTAAGTGTGTGATTAGATTCCATGTCTTGTTAATTCACCAAACTGCCCCTTCTACTATACCAACTGGGTTATTATACTTTGTACATGACAAAGCGAAGCTTTTGCTCTACGAAACATTGACCGGTAGATGTAGCTTTCGTTGAAGGACAAATATGCCAATAAATAGTGATATCATTCACAACCATATAATATCATATCTAGTTAGGTAACTCTTTATCAACCATCTAAACAAGCAAATTAATGTAGCATATATATTTTTGAGACAAAAATGTCTATCACAAAATTCACAGACTAGTCCTACATTGTGCTTTGTTAAAATGTCTACAAGGGGTAAGTTTGTCTATTCGTAGCAGGCAAAGGTAGTGATTATGCGCTACTTTGTTAAAGTTTAAAGGCCCACATTGCAGGAGTCCCAGACCCACCGCAGGACTCAGAGACCGGACCATCTTATTTAATTACCTTCTTTTTTGGTCTCACATGCGTCAATATTCTTACAATATCATCACAAAGATGTTTTCTTCACTCTTGTTTAACAACAATTTGGTATTTATAATCTGACAACGGTTAATGTATAATCACCAATTGTATGGTTAAAAACTTTGGCTAATGGTAACCTATACTTTCGTTAGCTTTTTCATGATGATAGCACTACTATCTACTACTTATTTGTTCGATTAAGCACACCACAAAAGGAACAAAAGGACTGGAACAATGAAAGCTCTAATATTGAGGATGCTTTAGTATAAAATAGAGAATTTATCAAAGACAAAATGGGTTAAGACAGATGACGCTTTATAAAAGAAAGATGAGACAAAACATAAGACTCCATGAAATAGGAACGGGAGAGTATGTGGGACGAACAGACATGGACATTCAGATACTTACATCTGACATTATCACAACCTTTTTGGGACCATCTCTTGGTTGTGGCTTTGGAGAAAAAACACGCAAAACATCAACATCCCCCTCCACCAGAAACCAAACAAGTTTCTCTCCAACTTGTCTATGAGAATGAGGTCTTCAAGATAAGAATATATCAGCAATTTGTTTTTAACGATTCTTCAATCCTAAAATCCACACTAGCATGTTTTTCTACCCAGGTCAGTGATGCAACACGAATTCAGACCAAACATTACATGGATAGTTTATGCTGGAATTAGTGAGTCTATGAGAATTTCTGAGTTTGTTGGCTTACCCCACAGCTTGTTGCATTTTACAAATTTACAAATTAAGTCATAAAAAATGACGAACCTTGACAATGTTCATTAGCTGTCCTCTGGTTTCTTATCATTTGAACAAGACTCAAGGTATGAGATCACAAGATCAGCTGCTTTACAACCTGATGCTATTGATTTCCCAACAGAGAGCCCTCCTCGGTGATTACCTGTTCATTTTGGTCCGTGTACAATAGATAGACTGGTTACATTCATCATCATTGATCATATATTTAATGCTTTTTTATCTACAAGACTGAATATTTTGATCGAAGTAACCTGCGTAGAAGAATCCAGGTAGATCTTTCTCCATCTTGTCAATTGCTTCCATGACTGAGTCATAGCTGCTGTCATACAACGGGAATGCTTTCCTCCAATAGTAATGGCTGCAATTAACATATTTGTTGATTTATAAGGGTAATCTCCTATTTAATACACTAAAACGATAAGATGAAAAAAAATATCTCTGAACTCCACATACTTGACAAACTCAGGTTCACCTTCAACCCCCAAAAGTCGCTGAAGGTCAGAAGTCACAACTTGTTTTAATTCATCCCTGCAAAGATAGAACCGCAAAAGATATTAAATAAGAAACAGGTGAAGTAAGGAACTAGAAAAATGGTATGAATGCCTTTTAAATTCACAACTTCCAAACAATCATGAATCACAATTTTTAGTGACTTGACATGGTTGGGTTTCTTACGTGGAAGCTTTGGCTAGTTCCTGGTTCCTACTCCCCCCAATAAAGGTTGTATATAGATGAAGGTCACTAGGGCAACGATCTGGAAACATCATCGATGAAAAGAGTGTACCTACATATAGAGTATAAGTGTTGATAATATAAAAGAAGAAATATAGGGGCATTTGTTTGAATCATGGCCTAGGACACCAACAACTTACCAAGAGTTTTGAAACCGTGTTTTTGCTCCTTAGATGGAATGAGTACCCCAAAGCCTTCAAGAGGTCTCTTTACTTTCTCCTTTGTGAATGTGGTGATTATAACCGAGAGGGGCATGTACTTAATCTGAAATATGAGCAAGATCAACATTATGCATCAATTAACTTGGGAGAGATAGTGCATATAAGAGATAACTAATCATGCGATGAAGTGCTTTGATGACATATTAAGGTTTTCATTATCAGTATTTGGAGTAGAAAAATCTAAGACAACTCGAAATGAAGGACTAAATCTAGATGTAGGCCTAATACTCTCAAGAAAAAACTCCTGAAAGTTAGGCAAGACACAATTACCTCGGGGAGAAAGTTGAGCTGAAAGGGTTGTCCTCCTTTCATAACGTCCATCTCCTTCACATTACACAGAGGAGCCTATAATACATTAAAAAAAAAAGTCAACTGAAAGGTTCTGTAAGTTTCATCTAACATCCGAAAACACTACTAACCGTCATAATTACAGCATCGTAATGGAGGTTTTGTCTCTGCATCTCGTTATGAGAAACACATGATAGTGACCAGTTCTCCTGTCTTGATCCAGAATTGTAAGACAGAGAGAGAACCTTGGAGTCTAAATTGAGCTCATCATGTGAGAGACCTTTGCACAACATATCAGGAAGAATCTGCACTATCCAAAGTGGTACAGAACACGAAGAACATGAGTAGTATGGCGGAAAATTTGTATAAAATTGGCTTTCATAAAGAATACATCACCTGCATTCCACCCTTAAAAGAGAATGACCCGCGTGAACCCTTTTTTGTGCCAGGAGAACTCTTTGTTTCGCCACTTTTACCCCCTTTAGCGGCCAATTTGGTTCTGATTGCGCCTACTATAACAGAGCCAAAGCTGAAAGAAAATATGATATATTTAGCAACTAACCACAGAGCAGTTAAAGAGCTCATCGCCACAGAATCAGCATACAGAAGTCAAAACTAGGCAGTCAATCCCAATATAAGGAAGCTTGCAATACTGTCTTAGTCCGTAAAAAATTTCTGACTACCATATTACACATCAAGGAACCAAAATATTTGTTTGATATTGCCACACATAAAATGACACTAGTAAAACTCAAAACCTGATTGCATCACCCAACAGAAAAACTCTTTGAATATTTTTTCTAAGCAAGAATCATTAAATAAGTACAGTTACATGAGGAATTACCTTTTCTCTACATTCCAGAGATCTGGAAAAGAATGCTTCATCTGGTCATGGATCGTAGGAAGGGATATAAGAATGAGTAATATCAAACAATAAACAAAGACAATCTGTTAAGTGAATAGTTGCTCACTGAAAGGGAATCAGGGTCTGCAGCACTTGTTCCACCTACGAAAGGGTCGATGAGATAGTCCACAACCTTACAAATGAGAAAAATAAAACAAGACACATGAAAGGAAGTTCACAATTATTTTACATTGATAAAGATAGTCCAAAATTGGTGTTGACACATGCAGAGAAAGGTGAAAAAAAAACAATGAGATGATAATGTTTTAATCCAAATTTAGGATTTGGTAGCAACTAACCTCTTGTCCAAAATGGCGTCGGAAGAACCCGCTTACACTACATCAGAGAAAATAGGAAGTGAAATGGAAGTTCTAATCTTCTGTGATTGAGAATTGCTGACGGTCTGAGTAAAACAAAATTATGCTTACCTCTCTGCTGCCGATGCGTCTGATACTTTTGAGGACAAGTCATTTTTCTTCCATAAAAATGGTTCCAACAAGATTTCAAACTGCAAGTAATGCCTAGTACTTTTAGGGATTTTTGAGATACTGATAAAGTAAAAACACATTGGTATAGAAGAGGTTCTAGTTTCTGGTGGTAGTCTACATAAAGTTAAAACACCGGAGAAATAATATGTCTGAAACAACCATCAGAGTCGAATTCAATGTAATAAATCACCAGTGTACTTATATCTCGAGAAATCTACCTTAGATTGGGTAGAGAGCACAGTACTTGTGACCAAGTCTATGGGATTTGTGGGTATCTAAGCAAGAAAACAGAGAAAATATCAGCATCATAAGTTAGATAGGAGAAGACCTCATTACATGAAGAATAAACACAACCCATAAGAAGAAGGAAACAAGTAAGGATTACCATCACAGGTACACCATTCCGCACAATATACCGCTTTTTCTGTGAAATTGGCTGAAAGGATAGAGAATGATCAAATAAGGGATGGAGAAACACAAGTAGCAAATCAAACGAAAGATGTCATTCATGACCACAGAAAATGCTCACAAATTGCTGTTTCTCGCGAAGGCCAAGATCATCGAGCAAAGTCCCAACTTCGGGCTCAGCCTCAGTCTGCATAAGCAGCAACACCGGATCAAGACACATAATCTTCTAAATAACTGACAGAGATGTGTCTTTAAGTGATTCTAAAGGACGTTTGACTTGAGAACAAACACAAACAAACCAACCATAGTGTTTGCTCCTTCGTCCCAAATCAAGCCATTATGCATAACACTCCTCAACTTCCCACCTGCTCTTCCATCAGCTTCAAACACAGTCACATTCAAACCCTTCGATTTCAACTTGTAAGCCGCCGCAAGACCACTTCAAAAGTCAAAACCATCCAAAAAAAAAAAAAACATATCTGTGAGCTACTTGGCTGCAATTACGCGAAATTGATAACAAATAAAGCTCAGAGCAAAGAGCCCAGAAAAGAAAAAGTCAAACCCAAAACCGGGAAGCTGAAGAAAATTCAGGAGAATTACACAGCAGAAAATATAGAGATGGAAGAACAATTCGCTATACCTTACACCTCCACCTACGACTGCGACTCTTCTTCCTGAAACCGCTT